AGCATTATTCCTGTGGCTGGCAGCCTGAGTGGGCCCAGAACATTAGCACATCCTACCTTTCCCCCACAGAGAAGAGCCCAGTGGGTGGCAGAGGTATAGAATTAACTGAGGGGAAGATAATGGTGTGTGTGTTTGTGTGTGTGAGCACTCCCTGGAGTTTCCACCTAGGAGCCAGATGGACCTCTGCCCCCAGCTCTTGGCCTATGGGGCTGAGAGAGGGGAACACACCCTACTCACCTCTGCTCTATTCAGTGAACCTGTCCAGGAGGGCCTCACTGCACCATGGCCCACAGAGAGCCCTTAGGACTAGGTGCAAGGAGCACCTAGGGCAGAGAATAATTATCCTCCCTTCCTCCCCAGAGTAATCATCTCAACCTCTTCCCCCAACCCACCGCCAAACCCCTCCCAGCCCTTCTGGCCAAGATGGCTCTCTCCTGTCCTTGAACTCGGATCCGGGCTCCTCCAGGAAATGCTGCCATATTGTTGGGGGAGGGAAGAGTCAGAACCTAAGGAATTGAAGTCTAGGCACAAGCAGGTGTGTCTGTTTTGAAGGTGATTGGAAGTAAGGGCTGAAGGGTGTGTGTGGGTGGGGATCAGGGAAGACTGCATGGAGGAGGTGGCAGTGGAGCTGGGCCTCCAAGGATGAGTTGTGTTTGAAGAATGAGAGACAGAGGATCCCAGTCCTAGAACTGGAGAAAACTGCAGAAACTATCTAGCCCAATCCCCTCATTTTACAGATGGGGAAACTGAGGTCCGGGGGGGTGAAACAATTTGACTGGCACAAGCAAGGTCTGAAATCAGGCCCTCTGACTCCAAAGCCAGTGCCATGCTGCATCTCTCTTTCATTTATTCATTCATTCATTCATTCATTCATTCATTCATTCATTCATTCATCCACTCATCTATTTATTTAGTTATCTATTTATTCATTCATTCATTTATTTATTTATTTGTTTGTTTGTTTCTTTATTTATTTTTGGCCAGGCAATGGGGTTAAGTGACTTACCCAGGGTCACACAGCTAGTGTTATGTGTCTGAGGCTGGATTTGAATTCAGGTCCTCCTGAATCCAGGGCCGGTGCTCTATCCACTGCACCACCTACCTGCCCCATGCTGCATCTCTTAAGGGGTCAGAAGAAGTAGAGGAGACCTTACTGGTTCTTATAGTCTGGAACTTTCCTTTCAGCAGATGAGGAAACTGAGGCACAGAGAGGCTGTCATTTATCCAGGTTCATGTGACTGGTAAGCAACGGAGCATGAACAAGAGTCCAAGTCTGTGATGGGGGTCCTTGGTGTGTGTGGGGTGAGAGGGTCTGGGTGCAAGAGGAGTGGGTACCTGGGGGCACTGCTGTCTGAGACTTTGGAAGACTGGGTATGGGTTATCTGGGGAATAGCAGGTGCTGATGGAGCTGGGGAAGGGCTTCATCCTGCAGGATCTAACAAGGCCTCAGTCCAACCTTAGGCTCAGTTAAGAGGGAAATTACCATCAATGATTGTCCTGATATTGTCTGCCCTTCATCCATCTATCAATCTTTGCTAAGCACTTCCTATGTGCCAAGCATTGGCGATGCAGGCACAAGACCAAAACAGTCCCTGAGATTCAAGAAGCTCACAGTCTAAGAGAGGTGATACACACAGATATAGGTTTTTACAAGATATATACAAAACAGGTGCCAGGTAACCTTATAGAGGATGGCACCGGGGAGGGGAGGGCAGGAAGGGACAAGGAAACACTTTTCTGCAGAAAGCAGAGCTTGAGCTGAGCCTTGAAGGATTCCAAGAGCCAGAGGTAAGGAGGGAGTGCCCTCCAGGCATGGCAAGCATCCAGTGCAAAGGCGTGGAGTCTGGAGATAGAGCTCAGGCATGTTCAACAGCAAGCATGCCAGTATGGCTGGATCACTGTGGTCAGTTCTAGGTACCATATTTTAGGAAAGGCTTGGACAAGCTGGACAACTTCCTGAGGGGGAGGGGGATTCATGCCACACCCGAATCAGTTAAAGGACCCAGGAATGTTTAGCTTGGAGGAGAGAAGACAGAGACATGGTTGTTGTTGTCATATGGCAGAGGGAAGAGATCTGTGTGGCCCCAGGGGGCAGAATCAGGGTCAGCTGGCCCAAGGATGTGAGGCTGATTTTGTAAGAAAAACCTTCCTAACAATGAAAGTTAGGACTCGCAGTTTCCAAACTATGGTCAGAGGTCCGATTTGAACCTAGGTCTTCCTGACTCTGCCTTATACTATCCATGCTGGCGATAGAGAAAAGCCTCCCTCAGGCACATATTCAGCTCCTTTCCGGCTTGGTAGGAAGCCCTTCACGAGCTTTTGTGGTCCCAGGATCACCTCTACCCACCGGGAGGCCATTGAGAGAGGCACTGAAGAGCACAACACACAGTACATAGCAATGCAATTGAGAGGCAGGGGACTGCCTGGCAAAAGAGAGTTCCAAACTCAGTAGCCTGGGCCGTATTCACTCCCTGAGACTTTGTGACTGCTGCAAGCCCCCCTCAGCAGCAGATTGCACACCAGAGCTGTGGCCAGTGAGTAAGCACTACTCCCTGCTCCCTCCCCTTCCACACCCTTTTCATTTTTCAGAGGGAGTGAGGAGCACCAGGCATGGATGACAGGTTGTAATTACATTATCTTCCCCCTCAATTCTCCCTTCTTCCAAACTTCCCTGTTTCTGATAGAGGCACCACCCGGCCCGCATAGCCATCAACCAGAGAAGCAACTCTGTGGAGGAGAGGTCAGCTGCCCCTGACGGCCATCAGCCATGCCAACCTCACCGAAGTCCTCTAAGGTACACGTAGGAGGTGGCATTTATGGAGAACCTTGAACACCATCTCCCCTCAGACCCTGAGAGACACAGCCCAGGACCCTGAACTCAAGCTGGGACTAGCAGTGCCCCTCACCCTGGGCCACTAGCCCTGCTTTGAGTCTATCCCTTACAGCCAGGAACCATGGGAGAAAACACTGGAGAAGAGATCCCCTTTGCTTGACACTACTAACACCAATGCCACTGATTGGCCCAAGGGTCCCAGGAGTGACAGCATCACCCACCTGGCCATTAGTGCTACTTCCAGCCCAGCCCTTGAAGCTATCATCTTGAGCCCCCCTGCCCCCTGCAGCCTGGCACCTGCTTCTGGGGGTACTGCAAGCCACAGCTAGCGAAGGCTGAGAAAAAGTTCTTACTACAAATGTCTTTGGCACTGCCAAGTGGTTCAACAGTAGAAACTGATACGATTTTATCAGTGGAAATGACATTAACGAATTACCATCTGCTTTGCCTCTGTTCCCTAAGGATTATGGGACCTTTCCATCTGTCCTGCCGCTGAAACTTTCCATCTGTGTTCTCGTCTCCCCCATTAGAATGTGAGCTCGGTGCAAGCAAGGACGTCTCACTTTTCCATTTGTGCCCGAAGAGTTCAGCGCTCATTCATTTATTACTTATCCTCTCTGAACTTCAGTTTCCTCATCTGTTAAAAAAAAAGGGGGGGGGGTTAGGACAACGTAAGCCCTTGGGCCTCACGCAGTTGTGAGCATCTCGGTTCTAAGTCCTCTCCCGCGCTGCCATTTATGGGATATTGAGTTTGAAGGGACGCTGGATGTCATTTGAGTACAACTCCCTCCTTTTACAGACATGGACCGAGGCAGGGACAAGTGAATTGACTTATTAGCTAGGGTCACACCTCTAGCGGGACAGGGTCAGGATTTGAACCCAGCTCAGAGTGGTTTATTTACAACACCGGATGCCTCGAATTCTCTGCTTTTTGGCCCCTCGTATTTCGGACCTTCGAACTCGAAGGTCTCTTCTGACATACACTTGCCCTCAGGTACCTCCCAGGTCCTATTCTCCGTTCTAAGGTCATTCCAAGCTCAGACATTTCTTCCATGTTCTATAAAGCACTAGGGGTTGATTGTGGGGAGGTCTGGAGCTGGCTGTCGTTGAACACAGAGAAAATTCATTGATTTGTCTATTTTTTAGCTCCGTGTAACTAGGAGAGGAAGGAGGTGGGGAGGCGGACTGGGACAATGTGGCACGTGGGACAATTGGGTGAGCCGAGCCCGGGGTTCAATGGTAAAGGGCAGGAGGGTTTCCGCCGATGGGGAGCTTGAAGAGATCTGAGTAGGGTGCCCTGGGGTACCTACTGGCCCGGGCGGTTCTGGGTCTAAGGTTCCCTCCTGCTCTGTGGGAGGGAGGAGGTGGCCAGGGACCAGGGCTGGCCCTCGGGAGGGGGCGCCCCCCTTCCTTGGTCTCACTCCCGCCCCTCTCTCTTCCTCCCTCCCTCTCATTGGCAGCTGGAACCGCGTCGGGGGGTTTCCATGGCGACGGGTCGCTAAGCATCGAGTCTGTGGGAACCCAAGTCAAACAGTGCGAGCGGGGGAGTCCCGGAGGGCGATCTTAAGAGACTGGCGGCTAGCCGCCCGGCGGCCAGCTGAGTGGCCCGGCGGCGCCTCCCCTCCAGTCCCTGGCTCTGCGACTGCGGGGCTGGATCGGGCCGGGAGAGGGGCAAGCTCCATCGGGGCCGGGGCGGAGGGGATGACTTGGGGGCAGAGCGGGCATCTCGAACCCTTGTTGGGGAGCCGGATTAGGACAGGTGGGGGGAACCTGGTCTTCAGCAGGGTACGGGAGGGAGTATCCTGAGCCCTGGGGTGGAGAGGCGTGCCAATCAGGACCTGGGAGGTGGGGAGGGCGGACAGCTGGAGCCCCGTTAGGAGGTGACGACTCGCAGGACTGGAGAGGACAGGCAGCCCAATCTCCGGCGCGGGGTGGGAGAAGTCAGCCCGACGGAGCCAGGTCAGCTACAGCCGGCTGGGCAGTCTCTTGCGGGGGGCGGGAGGAAGGATCCTGAGCCCTGTCGGGGGTGCACGACTGAGCAGGCCCGGTGAGTAGTGCAAGCCGGGTCGGGGGCGGGAGGGAAGGTGCGGACGGGGGGAGGAGGCTGGCAGCCAGGAGGGAGCCTGAGCGCGGGCAGGGCGCACGCCGCCGGCGGCCCCCGCTCGTTCCGGGGGCCATGAGCGCAGGATGGGCATCGCCGAGTCCACGCTGGACGAGCTGCCGTCGGACGTGGCGGAGCAACTGAGTAACGGCGAACAGCTCCTGGAGCTGAGCGGGCGGCGCCTGCGGCGCCTGCCCGCCTCGGTGTGCGCCCTGCTCGGCCTGCAGAGGCTCTACATCAGCGGCACGGGCCTGCGCGAGCTACCCGACGAGATCGAGGAGCTGCGTGAGCTGCGCATCCTGGCGCTGGACTTCAACAAGCTGGAGCACGTGCCCGAGGCGCTGTGCCGCCTGCCGCGCCTCAGCCGCCTCTACCTGGGCAGCAACCGGCTGCTCGGGCTGCCCGCCGACTTCGCGCAGCTGCAGAGCCTGCGCTGCCTCTGGCTCGAGGGCAACCACGTGCGGCGCTTCCCGCGCGCGCTGCTCCGCATGCCGGCGCTGCAGTCCCTGCAGCTGGGCGACAACCGCCTGCGCGGCCTGCCCGCAGAGCTGCCCAGCATGGTGGGCCTGCGCGGACTCTGGCTCTACGGCAACCGCCTCGAGGTGTTCCCCAGCGTGCTGCTGCGAATGGGCCGCCTGCGCATCCTCGACGTGGACCGCAACCAGCTGGGCGGCTTCCCCGACTTGAGGCCGCTGCGCGCGCTGCGCGTCTTCTCCTACGACCACAACCCTGTCACGGGGCCCCCGCGGGTCCTCGACACGGTATTCCTAGTGGGCGAGGGTGCCGTCGAGCGCATGGCGGAGCGTGACGAGCCGCCGCCGGCGCCCCGGCCGCCGCACCCCCGTCCAGCCCCGACCCAGGCGCCGGGTCCGCCGCCCTCCGTGAGTGCAGAGAAGGAGGAGGAGGAGGAGGAGGAGGAGGAAGAGCCAGAGCGCGAGGGGGACGTGGAGGAAGAAGAGGAGGAGGAACTGGAGGAGGAGGAGGAAGAGATTGCGCTCTGTGCAGGGCGCAAGCCCCCGGGCCTGGGAATCCCCAGGAAAGGCGAGCCCACTTGAGCTCTCCAGGCCCTGACTTTCTCGACTTTGCTTCTTTCCAGGCCCCAGAGGACACCTGGGCACCAGGAACATCCCCAGAGGATACCTGGGTAGCTGCCTACTACACAGTCCACTCATTGCTTGGGGGAGTTGGTCCTGCCAGGCTGGGAAGCCCAAAGGGACTCCCCTTTCTCCTGCTGCCTGGGCCTCAGACCATGGCTCACCTCTAGGGAATGTCCCCTGCTAGGGCTGCCGACCTCCCGGAGCTGCTGGTGGCTTTGGGACCATCATCTCTCACTGGGTCTTGGGAGGACGGTCAACTATTCTCCCACTGGCCACCTCCTTCCTCCTCTCCTAAAGGTCACTACCTCTCACAAGGCCTGAGAACCACAGGCCATCCCCTAGAAGCATCACTGCTCTGAAGAACTGGTAGCTGGTACTTTCCTGCAGAAGAGGTCCTTCTGGGGCACATTTGCCCCAGAAGGTGGGACTGGGGGACATGCTAGCCAGGCTAATCGAGCGGTGTTGGGTAAGGGAAGTTCTGGGATCCAGGAGGCCAGGAGAGGCCTGTGTTTAGCACCAAATCACCTCCATCCCTCCATGGGGATCCTACATACCTCTTCAGGCTGTCAAGCTTAAGGCCTGCCACCTAAGCAGTATTTAGCAACATGGAAAGGAAGAATCCTGCACCCTGCTTCTCTCAAACCCTTGGCCATTTGGAGTGTCACTGCCTCCCCCCCCACCCCCCAGCATGGGAGCTGTTCCTTCCAGCTGTCAAGTTTGAAAAGACGCTGGCATTCCCATGTTGTGCCTGTGCTAGGCCTCCAGTTCGGCTCCCTCTGCCCCCCAGAGCGGGGTGGGAATCAGGCAGCAGTGCTGTCACTCCTTGGATGCCTCCTTTTTTTAGGCCCATACATGGGCACATCTGGGGGAGCTGCTATGGAGCAGGAGGGGATGGGACGGACTGGCCCTGCCTCACTTCCTCTTCCCTCCTGGGCCAGGGCCAGCCCGATCCCCATTGCCCTCTTCCCATTCTGCTTGGCCAGGACCAAAATCTTTACCATCTGAGCAATAAAGGAAAGAGATTTGCTAGGGCAGAGAGGGCAGGGGCTGGGGGTAACTCAGGGACACAGTCAGGTGACACAGCGACTAAGTGAAAGAGGGATATTCTTTAACAGAAAAATTATGCCTGTAAACCATAAATTATATTTCCTGGAGAAAGAATCCTTGTTTCCCACATGCCTGTTTATTTATAAGCCCTGGGAGTTTGCTGGGCTCTAGTTGCTGTGTATCCTTCTGTTTCTCTCTCTGGTGGCCTGGCCAGCTTTGGTCCTTACCCTGTCATCATCCTGCCCCACTCCCCCATCCGTCCAGCAGCCCTGCCATCTGTCTGTCCAGGGTCAGGACTGTGTGCCAGGCACCACCGCTTTGCTCTCCTTCCATCTGAGCTGGGTCTCGGTCCAGCCAAGTGCTGGCCGGCTCTGTCTCCTTGTCAGCCTGTGTTTTGTTACTTCTGGCCAGCCCAGCTCTGTTCTGTGTCAATGCAGCCTGGGTTCAATTAGTCTAGACCCCAGCCTGTCTTTCTGCTTTAAGTCTCTGGCCAAACCCTCTCTGATCTCTCTCTGTCTGTCTGTCTTTTTGTTTTCAGGCTCTAAGCCTTTGTGGTGATGCTCCCTTAGCCCAGATTTTCCTATGGGGGTTTTTTCCTGCCCCTCTCCTCCCTATCCCTTTATCCCATCCCCGCCCCCCCTTGATAACTTTGTCGCTTCTCTGTACCATCTCTGTGTTCTTTGCCTTCCTTCCTTCCCTCTCCACCATCTGGCCTCCGCCTCTTTCTCTGTTTCCCTTCCTGGGTGTGTCCCTCTGCCTCTGCTGTTTTCTGTCCTGACCCCTCTCCCTAGCACTTCCTCTCTCAATGTCAGCACCTCCGCCTTCCTCTGTCCCTTCTTTCTTCCTGCCCCTCTGTTCCCTGTCTCCCTGGGTGCCTCCCTTCTGCTCCCCCTGCCCCTAGCTACACTGCCTGTTCCTCTGTCTCCATCTTTCTCTGCTTCATCTCCATTCCTGTCCCACTTTAGCTTCTCTCTCTGTCTCTTCCTGTCTGTCTTCCTCTCTTCCCTTTGGCCCCTTGCTCTGCCTTCTACCTCTGTTTTACTTTCATGATTGTCTTTGTAACCCCCTTGTTTAGCAGGACATTTAGCACACAGTAGGTGTTTAACAGATGCTAGTGGATTGATTGATCCATCTGCTGTTTCCCTGCCTCTTCCTTCCTCTCTGTGTCCTTGTCTTCCTCTGTCTTGTTTGTTCTCTGCCTCTCTGCTCCACTAGCCATCTCCTGACATGCTTGGTCCCTCCCTCCCTCCCTCCCAGACGCTGTCTGTCTGTCTGTCCTTTGCTCTCTCCATCTGCCCATCCCCTACCTTGGAGTGGCAATCCCTGCTCCTGGACTGCTCTCCCTGGCCTCTCTCTTGGTCCTTCCTTCCCTGCCTGCCTTTGCCTCTCAAAGTCCTTCCTGCCTCTGCTCAGCCCTTTCTCTCCCTCTTTCTTCTTAAACCATTCAGGGAAAACAGCCACGCTGAGAGAAAATAAGCAAATAAAAAGGCTTCCTAATGGCATGAGGAGATGATGCCAAGGCTTTGTTGCTATGGTGATGGGTCATGAGCTTGGGCTGAAAGGTCAAGCCTTGCCTAGCCAGGCCGGGAGGGAGCTGTGGGATGGGGGCAGGGAGATGCAAATTAGAAGCTGGCATAGAGAGAAGGAGAGCTGGAAGCTGCCCTCAGGAGTCCAGGCTGGCACTGCCTGGGAACAGCCAGGCTCCTCTGCTGCCTCAGAGACCCAGGGCTGCCCACCCCCATGCTCTGTCCTTGAGAGGGAGGAGAGGGGCATGGGGAATTCTTCCCTTTCCTGCCTCAGTGGTCCCTGGAGGGGGCTGTGGGTAGGGAGAAGATGCTTGCTGGTTCTAAGGGGCCAGATGTAGGGAGCAAGTTGGAAAGAATGAAACCCTAGTCTTTGCTCACAAAGGGGCGGGAAGAGAGCCATCACCTTTCACATATCCTGGCACATAGTCCTCTCGGGATTCAGAAGAGCCTTGGGTTCTACTCCCGGCTTAGTGTCCTTGGACAAGTCACTTTATTTCTGGGTCACAGTTTCCTCATTTATAAAGTGAGTGGGGTGGGCTCAATGATTACTAAGTTTGCTCCCAGCTGCATCCTGAAGGTCAATCATTCTTCCCACTTCCCAGCCCAGGAGAGAGGAGAGGTGGCCACAGAGGACCAGTCACACTGGGAAGGCAGTTGGATTTGGAAGCTGGGCCAGGTGATGGCTGGGCCCTGATTACAGAAGGAACTGAACATTCTATTACCACTTTTCCATTGTCATGCCCTCCCCCCGCTCCTGATATGGCTCCCTACCACCCTCTTTCATGACTGTGGCTTGGCAACCCCCCCAGCATGCTTCCCAACGGTGTTTGGAGGACTCCCCAACTCAGCCAATATATTGGAAATGGCTGCCCAAGTTTGGTTCATTCTCATAGAAATGGAAGCTGTGTGGGTAATATAGAGGGAGGAAAAGCAGGATGTGGCCATGACCCCTTGCCCTGGCTCTGCCTTTCACCTATCCTCCACTGCCTCTCTCTTCTCTGAGTAGACCAAGGCTCTGTGCAGAATGAAGACTTCCCCGCCCAAGGCTTTTCAGCATTTGGAAGCCTCTGGAAAGGTTAGATCAGGGGTTCTTAATCTGTTGTCCATGGACCTCTAAGTGCTCCTTGGACCTCTCTCTCCTCCTCCCAAAGGTATCCATGGACAGATTTCAGGGGAATTGTGAACTTGGATGGGAAAAAAATCTCTATTTTGATATAATTGGTTTCCTATGTAATCCTATGTATTTTATACATTTAAAAACTTGATTTTGAGAAAGGTTTCATAGGCTTCATTGGTAAAAGGGGACAGGCCACCAAAAGATGTTAGGAAACTATTAGAGGCATTAGCTGAAGTGGACCCAATATGGAATGACGGGCTTTGTGGGGCCTGGGAGGATATTAAATAGCAACATTCTCATAGAATTAGATAAACCGGGGAGTAGTTCAAGGACTATTACCGCCCCCTTCCCACCCTCAGCTCCCTCCTCTGGGGTCCTTTGGGCCTGCCTGTGGCTGCTGGGGTAGCAGCGCTGTCCAGCTGCTCTTCCCTCTGCCTTGACAAAGTGGATGACAGAGCTGGAGACATTGCCCAGGCCAACCGGCACATGGACAGGGAGGCTACAGGAAGTGCCTCCCTGATCTCTGGGTCTGACCCCAGCCACTCCTCCTGCACTTTGTACGGTGTCACTGATCCATAGCCCCGGTCAAGCTGGATTTCCCAGAGATATCTCAAATGCAAAGCATCCAAAACAGTAACTGTGATCTTTGTCCCCAAACCCTCCCTTCTTTCAAACTTTGTATTTCTGTTGAGGGCTGTCCTTCTAGTCCGGAAAACATAAAAGGCTCCTAGCTGGGGTGCCCTGCTGTTTTCAGTGTAAGCTGGGACCTTAGACATTGAGGATGGACTGAAGCAGCAGAGGGGGAAAGAAGAGTCAAAGGAGCTGCTGCCTCACCTAAAAAGGGAGGTACCGGCAGGGAAACCTCTGCCTGTGTCCCAGCTGCCAGCAGGCAGTGTATTGTGGGGAGACAGCTGCTTCTGTCGGCTTCCCTTGGCTTCCTACGTGGCCAGTCCTCAGCATCTGGAGATGAAGGGCTCACTGGAGCAGTTGGCTGTCCTTGGAGCCACGGGCAGGAGGGATACGGCATTAGGAATAGGAGCAATGGTGTAGGGAGCATATCTGTGGGCTGAGAGGGAAGTCGCCGGAGTGCCGCAGAATAATGACCGACATTTACAGAGTGCTCTAAGTGTTGCTAAGACCTTTATGATCTCATTTTAGCCTCACAACAAACTGAGCAGGTGGGTGATATTATCATGCCCCTTTTAGTGCTAAGGAAGCTGAGATGAACTGACTTGCCCAGGGTCATATACTTCATAAGTGTCTGAGGCAAGATTCAAACTCAGATCTTCCTAACGCTGTCTCCTGTGCCTCCTAGCTGCCTCTTCAGGTCTGTGCCAACCAGATGGTTCTCTGGCTACATGACCTTGGGCATACGCTTTAGTGTCTCTGAGGCTCGGTTTCCCCAACTATAAAATGAAGAGCTCGGACATGATCCGAGGCATCTTCTAGCTCTGACATGGATTTATTTACCATCACTATGCAGATGAGCCCCGCGTCAGCACCTCCGTGCCCCGACTCCCTCCTGAATCCAACGTCACCAGCTACCCCTTGGACGCTTCAAACGGGATATCCTAGACCAGAGCCATCACAAACTGAACATGTCCAAAACAGGCTTCACCTTCTTTCCCCCAAACTTATTCTTCTTCCAAACTTCCTACCCAGAGTGGAGACCTCTGAGTTACCCACCTCCTCCCTCTCCCCCTACTCCACACAGCCAATCAGTCGCCAACTCTTATAATATCTATGCAAACAGGGGCAGCTCGGTGGCTCAGTGGATAGAGCACCAGCCCTGAAGTCAGGTGGACCTGAGCTCAAAACCGGCCTCAGACACATAACACTTGCTAACTGTGTGACCCTGAGCAAGTCACTTAACCTCAATTGCCTCACCAAATGTGTGTGTGTGTGTGTGTGTGTGTGTGTGTGTGTGTACACAATCTGTCTCGTGCCAACATCTCCATCAGCTAGCCACTCACTCCCTTTGTTCAGGCCCTCATCCCCTCTCCCCTGACCTGCTTTACCGTCATGGTAATGGGCCTCACCATCCCAACTCTCTCCCTACTCCGACCTGTCTTCCGCACAGCTGTCAAAGTGACAGCCTGACTGAGCTGTTCCCTCGCTTAATAAACTTCAGGGGCTCCTTTTGACTCGAGGATAAAATATCAAATCCTTTTAAAGCCAGTTTGTCCCCAACCAATCTCCCCAGCCCCATTAGAACTTGGTCCCTTCCCTGCACGTTAAGGTCCAGTCAGACTGAGCCGATCTCTGCACCTCGGATACCGCACTCTGTCCTGTGCCTTTGCCCCAGCCCATCCTCCCGGCCTGGAACGCTGGCCCTCTTTACTTGACCTCCCCGAGTCCCTCCCTTCCTTTATGACTCAGCTCGAACACCTGCTTTTTACCGGAGACCTTTCCCCTTCGAGGGCCCTGCCTCCCTCCCTCCCAAACTGCCCAGTATATATGTACTTGGTGCGCATCTACTCTGTATGTATTTCTAGTGCACGTGTCGTCTTTCCCCTGCACCCTCTCCTCAAAGTAAGCTCCTGAGCACTGGGGCCCTGGCAAATGCTGAAGGTTCAGCCAATGCTCGATGATTACTTGGGTAACATCCTGTTTTTTTGTTCTAAGGATCAAAGCCTCATTTGTATAACAGCCCTAGAGCCCGAGGGGGATCTCTGAGTCTGTCCTCTTCATCTTAAAGATGAAGGGTGGGGGCAGTCCGGAGAGAATTGCCTTGCCCAGGGTCATACAAATAGGAAGTCACAGAGCTGGGTTTTTACTGTGGATCCCCTGATTCCAAATACCACACTCCTTCCGTTGCACCAGGCTGGTCTTCCTGAATATTCTAAGGTTCCTCCCAGCTCTGACCTTTTCTGTTCTCAGGCCCCTCCTGCTCTGACAATACTCTCTGTTCCAACAACATTGGCCTACTGGCTGATTCCAAACACATTTCTTGCCACCATTCAGTTGCTCACCCCCATGCCAGGCCCACCCTCCCTTCTTATTTTTGCCCATCAAAGTCTTACTTTATTGTACACTGCCTCCCTGAGAAGTCTTCTTCTGACTCTGATTCTCCCTAGCTGACCCTCCTCAGATGTTCCCAGACCCCTCTGTCTGGTCTACCCTGTATCTGTGTTCTTCTAGTGTCCTCTGCTCTCCCCCCTTTCCCATTCATTTTCTTGGAGGATGTGGATTCTGTCATTTTTTTCGCTTTGTCTTCCAGATGGAGCAGATGCTCCCCACCCCACCCTACAAGCCTGGTGGCCATAGTAGGTACTTAATAAATGTTTACTGAACGTCACTGAGAAAGTGCCTCCGGGATAGTCAGCTTGGTCAGAGAATGATTTCCCCCATCTCTACCTTCAGCCCTCGTACCAGGATTCTTCTAGGTCAGTAAAGGCACTTAGTCTGCACCTTCCCTGGGGCAGGAGAAGGAAGCCTGGGATTGTGTGGGTAGGGTAGCTGTGAGTAGTTTTGAGGCTGGCTGGGGTGGGGTGGGGTGGGGTGACAGAGTCTATGTCCTCTTCCCTGGCTCTCAAAGTCTTTGACTAGCAGGGTTTGGGGGCGGGGGCCCTGGTGATAGGATGCACCAGCTGCTTGAGTGGTGTCACAATAAGGCTTTCTGTTTAGAGATGATCCTCTGCCCTCCCCTCCCAAACCTGATAATGCACCCCTTGGGGTCATTGGGAAGAAAAGGGCAGGCTAGGATCAGCTCAGAACTCCCCCTCCCCTTCTCTGCTTCCCCAGGTTAGTCTTAGCATTTAGGTTAGCCCAGCCACCCAGGTTAGCCCAGCCCCCAGGTTAGCCCAGCCCCCAGGTTAGCCCACCGGTCCCACAACCTGCTTCCCCAAGATGACCTGGGCACTCTTGCATCCATGGATTAACATTTATTCAGGCACCTGCAGGTGCCGTACAGAACATTGAGTCAGACAGGGGTCCCTGCCCCTGGGGTTCACAATCTAAACAAGACAGAGACACACAGGACACAAATGAAGGGGAGGGGATGGAGGTGGGGGACATACCCAAGGAAAGACAGATGGCCCCGGAGAGCCAACACCCAGAGCACATAAGTGGATTCAATCCTGTCCCCTTGATTTTGGGTAGAGGTGGGAGGAATGGGGAATTGTTCAGGATAAGCTTCCAGAGATCAGGGAGTACAGATAGCGGAGGACCACAAGGAAGACAAAGGAAAGAGGAATAAATCGATGGGGGAAGTGAACCCGGCCCGCAGAATGGGATCTAGCACAGGGTCAGACGAGCTGCATGGGGATGAAGGAGATCTGGGGTCTAGGAGGGCACTGGCACCCAGGGCAGGGCAAGCCCCCTGCCTTGAGACCCCACGATGGGCTCTTGGGGTCACTGAGGCAGGGGGCGTGGAAGGTTCCCAGCTGGGAGGGACCTCAGAATGGGGGGGGGTCTAGTGACCGAACAAGAAGGGCCTCTGACTTCCTCTGGCCCTAGTCCCTCGTGGGACCGAAGTAGGACCCCCCCCCAATGGGAAGCATCTTGCCCAAGGCCCCGAAGCGTTAAGTGGCCAGGCCTGGCACCTCCAGACCTTTGAATGGGCAATACCTGAGCGCCAGGGCTAGTTGGTTTTTTGTGTTTTGTTTATTTTTTCCAGGGACTATTTTCCATGGGAAAAACTCAAGGCCCTGGGCCTCTCCTCCCTTTGCTCAGGGCCGAGCTATGTGGCAACTCCCTCCCAGGGCTCCTCCTGGCTCCACCGGAAGGGGAGTTGCCCCAGGCAGGGAGGGGACACCGAGCCAGGTACTGCAGGGACGCTCAGTGCGAGATGGTCCCCAAGGCCCCTTCTGGCATTCCCTCCCTGCCTAAGGATCAACTTCCAGAGAGAAAAAGCATGAAGTCTGAAGGGATATTTAAACTCAGCCCGAGTGCCGGGCAGGCGCAGAACCAGCTGCCCTCACTCCTTGAGAGCTCCATGATCAGGGTCGGGGGTAGGAACCAGGGTGGGATGGACAGAAAACCAGACCAGCATTTCCTTTTGTGCTCTTGAGGGAAGCTGATTTAGCACCTTCTTCCTAGGAAACCCTGAGCACAGCTCAGACCTCAGTTCCTCGTTGGGAGGGACGGGGGCTGGGGTGCTTTATTGCCCTTTTAGGGGTGGGGAACTGAGGCCCAGAGAACAGAAGTGACTTGCCTAAGGTCACACAGCCAGCAAGGGGAGGACTCAGGACTGGAACCCAGTTTTTGCAGGCTTGGGGCCAGCGCTCCCCCTTGGGCTGCTCCCCAGAGCTGGGGTGGGGGAGAGAATGCTTGTTTAGCTATTGCTGTTTCTAAGGGGGCCAGGACCACCAGGCCTAGGGCCCTGCCTAATTCCTCCTTCCTCCCCGCTAACATCTGGGGAAGATGAGGCCAGCAGCTGGGCCTCCCCTTAGGGCAGTTTTGGTGGGGCCACTGTAAAACACCACCCCCTCCTCCAGTCCTGGCTGGTCTGCTCTGCCCCAGGTGTGGATCAAGGGGAAGGGGGGTGAGTCTTTCGTTCCTCCTGCTAGGACTGCAGGGACAACAGCAGGGGGCCCTAAGGTGCTCACAATTCCCCTTGGGGGATGATAACTGGGGAGCCAACAAACGGACCTTGGAAGCTGAGCCCGGGCTGAAGCCATAGTCCGCCCGAGGCCAGACACAGGGTGTGTGGTGGAGAGAGCCCAAGCCACCCCACCCCATCTGGTCTCCTTGTCTCCTTCTCGTCCTTCTTCTGGGGGTGCTGAGGCACGGCGGAGGAAGGAGCAGAGGCCCTGCTTTTTCACTGTCCTTTATTAATCAGAACGGCCCGCTCCACACAAAGCAGGGGCCGTTCCCACAAAAATAGGAATCTGCAAAGAGGAAATCTCGCTGGCTTAGAGGGTGTGTGTGGTGGAAACGGTTTTTATGGGGTTTTTTCCATTAGATTTTCTTCCTTTCTCTTCGCTGAGAATGTTGAGGTTTGTGGTTTGTTTTATTTTGTGGTGGTGAATTTTTTCTTTTTTTCTTTTTTTATAAAACACTTGCTGGAAGAGGACTGAACAGAACAGAAAGAGCAGGGTCCCCACCCCTGTGCCCAGCTGGGCTGGGGGTCGGAGGCCACCTGAGCCTTGAGGGCTCCCTTGGGCACATTGCTAGGTGAAGGGCTGGGGTTGGGGGGAGGCGGGTGGGGAGAACTCTGTACAGCAGTTACAGGAGGATGATCACAAGAAAAAAGACATACCTGAAAAAGGTAATAGCTCTAGCATCCCCCAGAGAGACCATGGGTGACTCTCACATCCTAATGGGGACTGGTGGGACCCAGGACACCCGGGCATCTCAGCCTCAGGGTAAAGCAGGCCTCACTCTCAGGGCAGGCATGATAACATTGCCCTTGGGTAGCCCCTTCAAAACCCAAGGGCATCCAGGGCTCCCCTGGACACAGGTCAAGTGACCGCAACCTTTCAACCTCCCCTGTGAGGTAAGTGAAGCGTTAATTATTACCACCATTTCACAAGTGGAGAAAACAAGCCACTGGCTACACGGGTGACTTTCCCAAGGTCCCTGGGGCGATGGTGGGACTGCTTCCAATCGATCCCCCTGCTTCTCCTGTGTCCTGGTCACACCTACCTCTGGCCAGCCTCTTCCATCCTGACCCCATTCGGCTCTCCTACCCAGATGGCCGGCTGGGCACCCATTGGTCTGAGGACAGGCTGGGTGCCCTGTGCACGGTCTCATCAACCATTCATGCCTCAATCCGATAAAGACCAGAGGGAGGCCGGGGAGCAGGGAGCTTCCCTCTCTGCTGTTTCCTCCTCCCTCCCTCCCTCCCTCAGCTGCAATGACCATCAAATAGAAACTTAAGCAGGGACAGGAAGGGTCAACAGCGAAATCCAAAATGCAAGGTAAGGGGAAGGTTTGGGCAGGATACAGGAGGAGAAGGTGGAGGAAGCAGTGGGTCCCCATCCCTTTAGGAAAAAAAAAGATACCACCCAGAGAGCATCTTTGCACCTGATCGGCTAAGAGCTGCACAGGCCGGGCACTGAAACAGAGATGTGCTGGCCCTGTCCACTCTAACACGATTTGGTTTGACCCCAGCTGGGAATCACTAGCTAAGAATGGCAAGGTTGGGGGCTTGCTGGCTGGCTGGTCCCCCACCCACAAGGGAGGGGAGGAGGGAAGGAAGGGGGAGACCCATGAAGCGCCCAGCGGCAGAGAGCCCAAGCCCATTAACCCTGCATGCGCCCTCCCTTCATCTAGGCCTCCCCTCTTCTCCACTCTCCCCAAACTACAGACTCCTGGGCTCCCACTTGTCAGGATCTAGAGCCAGCCGAGGTCTTACAGGCTGTCTAGTCCAAACCCCTCATTTTACAGAGGGGGAAACTGAGGCCCCGAGGGAGAAGAGTCTCTCCTAATCAGCTTCTTCATTCTCTTGGCTTTCTCTGAGCATCCTCACCCACAATCTCCCCTGCCCTACTATCCCTCCCTCTCCCCTCTCCTCTGGCTTCTTCTGAGGGCACCACCTACCCTGTTCCATTTCTCCCCTCCACACAAGCCTGAGCCTTTGTGCCATGGATTGGATCATAGACTTTAGATCTGAAAGGACCTTCTAGACTACTCCCTCACCTTCCCATTTCACCAATGAGGAAACAGCGATAAAACAAGCTGCCCAAGGTCACATGGTTAGTTACGAAATAACAGAACTGGGAACAGAATACAGATCAGACAAGCCCAGCCTTTTCATTCATTCATTCATTCATTCATTCATTCATTCATTCATTCATTCACAGGATGAAAGAATCCTAGACTGAGCACTGGAAGTGACCATAGGTCACCTCGCCCAACCCCTGTATTTTTCTAATGAAGAAACTGAGGCCCAGAGAATCAAGTGATTTGCCCAAGGTGACACAGGGTGAAGATGAGAGAGGGCAGAGTTACGCCCTGGCAAGGCTGGGCCTCAGAGCTACTGGGAATTATTATCTGTGATGCAAGGTGGTTCAGCACTAAAGCCTACTAAGACAGGCTAGGGTGCTGGTAAGCATGTATCAGATACGCAGTCTTAAGAGCTGGGTTCAAATCCCTGCTCTATCTGTAATTCAGGTGTGACCATGGGCAAATTACTTCTGCCTCATTCAAAGATACTCTAAGGCCCTCTCTGCTCAGAAGGTCCCTCTGGGTACACCATTCTAGGCTCTAAGGTCTAGGGTCCTTGCAGCTCTGACGGTCTCATTCTGATGTCCCTCTGTGTCTGGAAGTGAGGCAGCTGGAAAGGGTGGGCTCTGCAGCGCATTCCAACTTGAGGAATCTGCATTCTAAGCAGCGGGCATAGCCTTAGCCTCCTGGACACGGCAGGTTGGAAGTCACCCCCAAATCCAAAGACCCTTGCCCCACTGTGGACCTAGGCGATCTGGGGAACACCTGCAGCCTTCCCTGGGTGCCCTTTCACCTCCCCCTCCCCAGCCCACCCCAGACATATAGGGCATCTGCTTTTTCTTCTCCATCTCACATCTTTGCAGGAGCACGGGCAGGCAGCGGCCACCAGTCCATGATGTCTATTTGCCATCTGGTGGCCAGCGTGGGGAACTGCAGCTCTACGCCTGGTCCTGGGGGACATGGCCTTTGCTAGCCATCAAATCCCACTCCTAGGGTGGGGATGAGCTGACTTTCTGCTGGGATCACCCAGAAGCTGGCACTCGGTCACCAGCAGGGAGGTGGCAGCAGCTTTATAGGAGCTGGGCAGGGGCACTGGCCTCGCCTCATCATCTCAGGAACCTTCAGATGGTTCCATCCTGTTCTCTTGGCTAGGAGTGGGCCAAGCAGAAGGGCAGAGGTGGAGAAGGGAATGAGAGAAGGCATGGCCCTTACTGAGCCTCCTTTATGCTGGTCTACTCGGTGCTCAGAAATACCTTGGGGGTAAACTGATGGTCCCCCCAACTCTCAGCATTTAGGTGGGATGGTCCTAGCTGAACAGTTTAGCTTCTCGGCTCAGGCAGGAAGGGGAGACAAAGCTGTGATGTTATGGGCTTTGACTAGACAATCTTTGCAGCATCTTCTGGCTTGGACCTTCTAGGTTCCAAGGTTAGCTCAGACGTTTTATGCTCCAATGACCCTTCTAGCTTTGACCTTTATGATCTTACTTTGCATGTCTGACTTACATTGCATGTTCTATATCCTAAAGTCTCTCTTAGCACTGACATTCTGTGCTTTATATTCTAAGACACCTCCCTCCACCCTAGTTCTGATGTTCTGTGTTCTAGATTTCCCTCCAGCTGTGATGATATGCAGCCCAAAGTCTCTTCTAGCTCTGAGAATGCACACTCTAAGGTCTGTCCACTTCTCATATTTGATATTTAAAGGCCCCTTCCAGTCCTGATGATCTGTGTTCTAACATTCTTCCAGCTGTGATGGTCTATCTTATAAGGGGCCTCCTGGTACCAACATTCTGTATTTTAAGGTCCTTCCAGCTCTGACATTCTGTATTTGAAATTCTCTCCCAGGTCTGAAAACCTCCATTCAGAGTTCCAAGGACTCATGCAGCTCTCTCATAGGCTACATTTTAAGGTCCCTTCCAGCTTGGACCTTTCATGTCCTAAGGCTCTTCCCTCTCAGCTCTGAGATTCTCTATTCTAAGGTTCCCTCCAATTCTGACAGTGTGGGAGGGAGGTGACAAGTCGGGTAGGCACCTTGGGAAGGCTGGAAAGGAGGAATAAGGGGTCTGAAAGAACAGGGGAGAAATCCAGAAGTCTAGGAGAGGGACCTGACAGGGCGGGAAGGAGTGCTTTTCCAAGTGACAATGAAGGCAACGGGATTTTGGAAGTGGGAGGACAACATGGTACCACTTTTTGGGGAAGGAAGGGCCAGGACCCCCTCGAAGGCTCCAGGGATGGACCAAGGCCCACTTGGGCACTGTGCATCCATGCCAGGGGCAGTGACTGGGACCGGCCTACTTAAAAATTCTCAGCAATGGGGTCACCCAGCAAGGGAGATGGCCCTGGGAGTGATTGATTATTTATTGGAAGAGCCTTGGAGACTTAGCTCACAAGGAGGTGATGTACCAAGTTGGCCATGGAGCACTCAGACGCTTGAACTATGGTTATAGAAACTGATCACTGTTGGTCTGGGCGTCTCTAGGGAGAACGTGAGGCTGGGGCCAGGGACACATGGAAGCAGAACAGAAGAGGGGGAGTGGGAGGTAGTGAAACTAGGGCCAAATTTGTACAAGCGAAAGGACACGGGTTCGTATCTCAGCTCTGTACTTACTACTGTTGTAATCTTGACTCAGTGACCTAACCCTCTGGGCCTCAGTTTCCCTATTTCAAAAATGAGAGGGTCTTAAAAGGGCCCTTTTCACTCTAACTCCTAGGATCCTACACCTATTTTTATACTAAAAAAATACCACATGTACTAAGTATTTTTCATACCTACAGAATTTCATACTTCATGTTTGAGAAGGGAAATGAGAGCCAGCATGTGTATTTTCTGCAGAAGCCCCATTCCGTGGTGGGGAGAGCCAGAAACACAGTTTGGAAATCATTCAGACACAATACCCTGGTCTCCAAGAACTGGAAGCAGAGATTAGAACAGGAAACAGCCTTCTCCTTGTTCTCAAACCAGCACGAAGGTCCAGTCTTTAAGCAGTAACAGCACTGGACATGGAAAAGAGAGGACCAAGGTTCATGTCCGAGCTCTGCTACTTAGGACATTGGGTGAGTCTGGGCGTCTGCTTCCTTATTTGAAAAATGAGGAGCTTGGAAAAACTGTCTTGCAGCTCTAGATCTGATGGGATATTGGACGTGTGGGACAAACAGTGCTGTCTCTCCTTTCTTCTCCCTGTCTTCCTTTTGTTTTCTCCTTATAGATGCCCTTCAAACTTTCCTTCACCTCCGCTTTCCCTATCCCACCATTTTCTCTCTATCCCTTCTCCTTTCTCTGCACCCCTCACCTTTTCCAAAGCCCCACCCCTCAGCACAACCTCAGTACCATCTCAGCGAGCCATCTGGAGCCCCCGACAATGGGCTCCCCCACACACATTCACACGACGGGCGTGCACACACAAAAAGGTTGAACATAGCACGTGTACACAGGACCTTGGCTCTGAAGCCAGGCTATTTATACCCCCTTGGCACACAGGGGCCCCCAGACAGCTTAAAAAAAACCCAACACCCCAGAGGGGAGGAGGGCCATTCTGGCCGGGCCAATCGCCGCGGCCTTAGCGTGTCGCACCCACTGCGACCAGTGGCTGGCTGAAGCTCGGCCAGCCCACAGCTCCAGAAGCCACCTTAAAGAAAATGGCGGACAAGCCAAGCTCCGCCAGGTGGGGCCTCTGGAGAGATCTCTGTCCTGCCATCTGTCCATCTCTCTGTCCATCCATCTCTCTTGCTCTCCCTCTCTCTCTCTCCCCACTCCTGTTTCTTTAGTGTCGGCAAGTTGAAGAAAAGGGGAAAGCAGGAAAATGGCTCCCAAAGGCCCCCCCCAAATGGGGGAGGGGCTGACGCTTCCTAGAAACACGGCCATACTGAGTCCTGGGCCCCCTCCCTGGCTGAGCCCACAGGGGTCCTTCCCCCCACCCAATGGGGGAGCCACACCCGGGGCATTGTGCATAAAATGTGAAGGCGTGACCCCCAAACCATGGGCCCATAGCCCCACCCCCGGGCCTCCCCAGGCCCTACTCAGGCCTTCAGTTGGTGCCACTGAGCCACGGGCTGCCGAGGACGGGCAATCATGTCCTTCCAATGCTTCACCTCACCAGGACCACTCTTCCAGGACAGATAGATCTGGAGGGAGGAGAGTGAAAGGTGGAATCAATCACTCAATTATCAAGAATTTATGAAGCACCTACTATGTGTGCTAGCCTCTCTGCTAGGTGAGCCTTCAGTCTGTCCTGGGAGATAACAGACATGCATGAAAGTATAAGTATACAAAGTAAATGCAAAGTTATTTTTTGAAGGGAGGCACTCACTGCTGGGAGTGTGGGGGTGGCTGTGTGTCAGTGAAGGCCTTCCATAGAACCTGGTGCTTAAGCTGAAACTTTGAAGTAAACCAGGGCTTTTAAGAGACCACAGTGAGGAAGGAGGGCATCCTACACATGGCGATCAGTCTGGGCAAAGGGACGGAAGTGAGAGATAGACCATGTGAAAGGAGCGGCAAAAGCCCACTGGGGCCGACGTGTGGAGAGGAGGGATGTGTACTAAAGCCGGAAAGGTGGGAAGGGGCCGGGTCACCAAGAGCTTTAATACCAAACTAGGGAGTTTATAGCTGATTCTAGAGGTAAAAAGGGAGACCATGCGGTTTCCTGAGCAGGCCGTGATGGTCAGACCTAGGTTGAGGACTCTCGCTTGGCAGCGGGTAGGGAGACACACTAGACAGCTAGTGCAGCAGGCCAGGCTCTGACCCTCTAGGGCTGTTGACTGATGAACATATGCATACATGGCTGAACGAAGACAAGAAAATCTGGATTCTCAAATACCAGGTGGCAACTTCCTTCGAGCAGGCGTTTTGTTTTGTTTTTTAGTTTTTTAATATCATTCACCAGAGGGCTTAGCAAATTAAAATATGCCACATTAATGCCAAGAAGGATGTATATCATGTCAATTGGACTGAACCAGTCTCTAACTTGTGGTTGGCCAGAGCTGAACAGAGTCGTCTAGAGACAGGAGAGTCAGGAATCAAGCAGATTCTGAGCCTCTCTTAAATAGGGGGGAATCATTTTACAGGCTGTCCTGAGAAAGTGCTTTGAAAACCTTGTGGCCCTATAGAAATGTGAGTGATGACTGCCCAGATCACAGAATCACAGATTTGGAGCAGGGAGCTGCCTTTGGTATCATCTGGGCCCACGCTGGCTTTACAGATGGGGCCACTGAGGCCAAAGAGGCTCAAGGGACTTGCCCGCAGCCACGCCTGGAGGGAGTTAGCTCAGAAGAAACCAGGGATCCAGGAGAAATTATGCTGGAGGGGGAGGCAGGCCTGACCAGGAGAGCTCACAGGACCTCAGCATTGTGAAGGAAAGCGACAGAGACAGACTTCAGGGCTCTGCTCAAGGTAATGATCAACCACGGACGCCAGAACCAAGGAGGAGGTGGGCTGCCCATCCTTGGATGGGGAGGGGAAGGACTCAGGTGCACAGCCCACCAGGTGTTTCCAGGCAGGATTGTTACAATGCAGACTTGTTTGGCCCTGATGACGTGTTACAAGGAGCCGGGGCAGGAGGAGAAATGGGTTCAAAAAAAGGGGAAGGAAAGGAAAAATGAAGTGACAATGTAATACTAAAAGATGTACAGAGTAGAGGTTCTGAGGGGATGTGGGCAAGCAGGGCCATGTGAATCCTTCCTTCCTTCTCTCCCTCCCTCCTTCCTTCCTTCCCTCCTTTCTTCCTCCTTCCCTCTCTTCCTTCCTTCCTTCTCTCCTTCCTTCTCTTTCTCCTTCCTTCCCTTCCTCTCTTCCTTCCCTTCCTCTCTTCCTTCCCTCTCTCCTTCCTTCTTTCTCTCCTTCCTTCTCTCCTTCATTCCCTCTCTCCTTCCTTCCTTCTCTCCTTCTTTCCTTCCCTTCCTCCCTTCCTTCCCTTCCTCTCTTCCTTCCTTCCCTCTCTCCTTCCTTCCCTCTCTTCCTTCCTTCCTTCCCTTTCTCCTTCCTTCCCTCTCTTCCTTCCTTCCTTCCCTCTCTCCTTCCTTCCCTCTCTTCCTTCCTTCCTTCTCTCCTTCCTTCCTTCTCTTTCTCCTTCCTTCCCTCTCTCCTTCCTCCCTTCTCTCTTTCCTTCCCTCTCTCTTTCTTTCCTTCCTTCCTCCCCTCCTTCCTTCCTCCTGCAATTAGCTTCACACCCTCACTCATGCATATATTTAGCAAATATTGATTGAATGCCTACAGCATACAAAGCCCTGTCTGAGGTGCTGCCCTCCTTCCCTCCCTCCCTTGCGTGCTCTGGCAGCGTCAGCAGCAGGCTGCCTGGCACTGGTGACCCCCACCTTGCCGATGACGTCATTCCGGCTAAGCTTATCCTTGTCCATGACAGTGATAATGATGGTTGTCTCCCGAAGCTTCTCTGTGGGAATGTCAAAGATGAAGGACTCATTGAAGACGGGGTTCAGGTTCCTCTTCATGGTCACTGTCTTCTTCTTCTCCACTCGCTTGTCCTTGTACATCAACCACACCTTCACATAGGGGTCTGTCAGGGGACAATCATGAGTCAGTGGAAGTGGGGCTTCTCCAGCCCCGACCCATCCCACTGAGGAGGACTTAGAGCAGGGAGGAGGAGTGGAAAAAAGAGGGCTTCTTTCCTTTGGGGATCTAATGTTTGAAGAGGGAGTCATGAAAGGACCAAAAGGATACTCAGGAAATGCTGAATTATAGAACGTCAGAGTTGGGAGGGGCTGAGAGGGGCCTCAGAACAGGGAATGTCAGAGCTGAAATGGGCCTGAGAACATGGGATGTCAGGGCTGGGAGGGGCCTGAGAACATGGGATGTCAGGGCTGGGAGGGGCCTGAGAACATGGGATGTCAGGGCTGGGAGGGGCCGGAGAACATGGGATGTCAGGGCTGGGAGGGGCCGGAGAACATGGGATGTCAGGGCTGGGAGGGGCCGGAGAACATGGGATGTCAGGGCTGGGAGGGGCCGGAGAACATGGGATGTCAGGGCTGGGAGGGGCCGGAGAACATGGGATGTCAGGGCTGGGAGGGGCCGGAGAACATGGGATGTCAGGGCTGGGAGGGCCTTAGAGAACATTTGGTTCAATGACCTCATTTTACAGATGGGAAAACTTGGGCCTAGGGAGGGATCATGCCTAGCTTAGGGACCCCAAGAAAGTTAACAGAATCAGGACCAGAACCCAGGCCTCTTCAGTCACAACCTTGCCTTCTTTCTAATACTGTGCCATTTTCTTTATTCTGGAAAGAAACTCAGAATAAGTCCCTCTCTGTGGGTAAGGGGTCCACAGAGAGCCTAGTGCTTGACACACTCCCTGGCCCCTGGTAGACACTTAATCAAGGTTAGCTGCCTGCCTGCCTGACATCCTGGCTTTGGGAGTGTTCTGCGAGGAAGGAGAACCGCAAGGGATGGTGGGAGGTGGAACGTGGAAGGCGAATGACGGGCGATGTTTAGATGGGACCATGTAGAATGAGGGAGCGAGGCTGGTGGCCTGGTGAGAGAGGGTAAGAGGGCTCAGGTGGACAGTGTGGAGGGGCCCCTCCTCAGCCCCGCCAGTCCCAAAGCCCAGTCTACCAGATGTGCCCCCGATGTCCATGGCTTTGAGGTTCCGTGCTTTGATGATGTTCACAATGATGGAGTTGGCAGAGGGGTTATAGCACAGGGACAGGAGCAGTTCCCCTCGACTTCCCTGGAGGAGACAAAAGGAGAGGGGTGGGGTGGGGCCGAGACCTGGCTGGGTGGGCGTGCAGTTCTTAGGCGGCTCTGCATTTGAGGACAGCAGTGGAGACCACTGGGGTGAGGGACGGCCCTCAGCTCCTCAGCCTGACCTTGACCCACTTTCAGGATGAACGCAGCCTATTCTCAGACTCCCCCCTCATTAGGTGTGGGCCATGGGGTCTCTTTTACAATGCCCCCCTTCCCATCTGAGGGTAGTAACAATAGTTAGGATTCGTATAGTGCTTTAAGATTTGCATAGCACTTTATAAATATTATCACAGCAAGTCTTGGAGTTAGGTACTATGGTTATCCCATTTTACAGATGAGGAAACTGAGGTCAACAGAGGTTAAGTACTTGCCCAGGGTCTCATAGCTAGGAAATGTCTAAGGCAGAAACCGAACTCAGGTCCTCCTGACTCTGGGTCCAGTGCTCTGTGCACTTCGGCGCTACCTAGCCGCTTTTTGTGACCACGCATTGCACGTCCCCTGGATCTCAGCAGCCCAGCTCAGCCGAGGCCCCCCTGCCCACAGGATGAAGGTCCCCCTGCTGTGGGGGACCCTCTTGAAGCTGAGAGGCTCAGCCCCAGCCTCAGGGAGGGACAGACAGGAAAGGGCCTTACGCTCCCGTCGCTACATGGCTTCAGCTCCTTCCAGAATGTCTGCATCTGGGTCAGATCCACTTTGTTAAGTGGGATGGACACTTCCCCAATGGGGTCGTTACGACTGAAGCGGTCATAGTCCAGGACCTGCAGGTACAACACCCGCTGCACCACCTTCTCATAGGGGAAGCCTGTGGGGACCGAGAAGAAAGTCAGGACTGTGGGCCCTGTACCCCCACCCCAGACCCTCCTCCTTCCCCGGAGTATCAGAGCCAGAAGGGGCTGTGCCCACAGGAGGGATCCCCCACTACAAAGACATCCCCAGCAAGTCACCACCCAGCCCCTGCCCGAAGACTTCCGGTGACAGGGAACTCGCGACCTTCCAAGGTTTCCCCTTCATCTTTGGACGGCTCTAATTTTTAAGAACTGTTTGATCCTAAATCTAGTTCTTTGTGACTTCCACCCACCGTCTCTCTTCTCCTAGGAAAAGGGACCTGTGCTCAGTGCAGCCGCTTCCTCTCCCCCTCACTCTCTTCTGAACCTTCTACAGTCTGGCTTCTGACCTCAGCATTCAAATGACATTGCCTTCTCCAGTTCTGCCAACGATGCCAAATCTAGCTGCGTCCTCTTTGTCTTCATCCTTTTCTGACCTCTAAGCGTTGTGACCACCCTCTCCTCCTACACACTGCGCTCTGGCTTTGGTGCTACTGCTCTCTCTGTCTCTGCCTCTCTCTGTCTCTCTCTGTCTCTCTCTCTCCCTCTCTCTCTCTCTCTCTGTCTCTCTCTCCCTGTCTCTCTCTCTCTGTCTCTCTCTCCCTGTCTCTCTCTCTTTCTCTCTGTCTGTCTGTCTCTCTCTCCATGTCTCTCTCTCCCTCTCTCTCCTCTCACTCTCTCTCTCTCTCTCTCTCTCTCTCTCTCTCTCTCTCTCTTTCTCTCTGTCTCTCTCTCCCTCTCTCTGTCTCTGTCTCTCTCTCCCTGTCTCTCTTTTTCTCTCTCTGTCTGTCTCTCCGTGTCTTTCTCTGTCTCTCTCTCCCTGTCTCTCTGTCTCTGTCTCTCTCTCTGTCTCTCTCTCTCTGTCTCTGTCTCTCTCTTCCCTCCCCCCTCCCCCCGGCCTCGGCTCTCCTCCTATGTCTCTGACCGCTCCTTCTAGTGTCATTGCTGACTCATCATCTACGTTGTGCCCACTAACTGGGTGTTGCCCAGGGCTCTGCCCTAGGCCCTTTACAATATTCTTCCTACAGTCTCTCACTTGATAATCTCGTTGGCTCCCATGGATCTGGTTATTATCACTACACAGATGATTCCCAGATCAACATACCCAGCCCCAACCTGTCCTGAACCACAGTCCCACACCACCATTTCTGACTGGACGTCCTGTCAACAGCCCAAACTCAGCTTGTCCAAAACAGAACTCTTCTCGCCCCCTGCCCCAACACCCCTACCTCTACTGAACTTCCTTGTTTCTGTCCTTTTTTTTTTTTTTGAGGCAATCCGGGTGAAGTGACTTGCCCAGGGTCACATAGCTAATAAGTGTCTGAGGCCACACTTGAACTCAGGTCCTCCTGACTTCAGGGCCTTCCCTGTTTTTGATGCTGGTGCCAGCATCCTCCCAGTTAACTAGATGCACAACATCATTGTCCGTGTCACCTCCTCCCGCTCTCCACCCATCAAGTAGTTGCCAGCTCTCACTGCTTCTCCCTTTGCCAGTCCTTACAGCACCACGCCGGCTCTGGGCAGCATCAGTCCTGTCCGGAGTACTCCAGCAGCCTCCTGACTGGCCTCGTGGCCCAAGCCTCTCCCTGCTCCAGGCTGGCCTCCTCACAGCCACCACAGTGAATTTCCTAAAGGGCAGTTCTGACCATATCACACCTCTATGAGATAGACTCCAGCGGCATCCAGTTACCTCCCGGATCAAACGAACAGCTCTGACGTGCCAGGCTTCATGCACTCTCTGAGTCTTTGCACGTGTCGTGCCCCCCACCAGGAATGCCTTCCCTCCTCGCCTCAGCCTCTCCGAAGCCCAGGCTGAAGCGACACCTTTGGCACGAGGCTGTTTCTGGTCCCATCAGCCCCTAGGGCCCTCCCTTCCTCTTCAACGCTGCCCTGCGTTTGTCGATAGGACCCTAAATATGTGCACGTGGTCGCCCCCATTGGAATGTAAGCTCATTGAGGGCAGGGACTGTTTTGCCTTTGCCTTTCTACCCCTCGCGTTTAGCACAGTGCCCGGCACACAGTAGGCGCTTAATAAATGTCTGTTGATTCACTGGTTAATGACTCCTAGTTCTGCTGTTGGAACCAAACAGAACTGACACTATCATTACCTGTGGTTTCTGAAGGGCTCACGTGTAAAGATAACTCAGGATCTCAAAGCTGGGAGAGGCCTCAAAGGACACGGAGTGAGCAGGAATCCCTCCCTCCCACAACATACCTGACGAAGGTTGGTCACCTCCAGCAACAGGGAGCTCACCACCTTTTTTGGCGCCTCTCTAACTGCTAGGATGCCTCTCCTCTCATAGAGCCCAGAGCTGCCTCTCGCCCCCTCCCCCCTCCCCCTCCCCCCCTTTGCTCCTGGTTTTGCTCCCTTCATTACGTGACTTTGCTACCAGGGAGTCGGGAAGACACGTGCGCCTGGAGCTTCAGCTTCATTTCCCCTTTGTCCCCCTTCCCGCTTAGCCAAGGCCCCTTCAAACCCCACAATAAGCAGAATGCCGCGGTCTCCTGGATGCAGAGAAGGGGGGAGCATGGGGTCAGGACACAGAACGGAGAGGGCAAGAGAACCAGAGAGCCGGCGAGATGGAAGGACGTTGGGGACCAATAGACCAAGGCCCAGAGAATGGGCAGGACTGCTCCCGAGGCCTCCTCTCCGACTCCTAATCCTGGCATTTCTGCACCGCACCCCGTGGTCTTCCTCAGGGGAGCGCCCAGAGTGAAGGCTGGCAGGCCGTGGCGAAGGAGAGAGCCAGCCACCAGCCCCCCAAACTAGGTCAGGTGGGCGGAATGAGTGAATGGGCTGCGCCGGTGGCAGACCTGGCGTCCCCTCCTCCCCTTCCCTGCCCGGGATCCACCCATCTTAACCCACCTTGGCGTTTTGCAAATGAGGAAACTGAGTGAGGCCCAGAGACATGCAGTCTTTTGCCCATGGTTGCACAGCTAGTAAGTGGCGAGATTGGACGTGACTGCTCTCAATCCAGAGCTCTTTCCCTCCTGCCCTACAGCTTCTTGTTCCACGCCCATCACCAGGGTGTGTCCTGAGGTCTCAACTCTCCAACATGGGGCCCATTTCCGTAGCTCCCTCTAACTCTGTCCCAAGCTGCCCTTGACTGAATTGGTCTTAAAACCTTGATCTGGGGACGGATGTCATCCTGCCTGCCTGTGGCCAGTTGTGTGAGCCCCTCGGGCCTGACTCAGGGTCAGACAAGGAGGCTCTGTCTAGGCTCGGTGCCAAGAGGTCCCAGAATCCTCGGTCATTTTGGAGCAACACCCAGTCTCCTGAGGGGCCTTGAGGTGTGACCTGGGACCGAGTCTAGACCCACTCCCCTAGGCCAGCTCCAAAGCATATTGGCCTCTGCTGGGGGGGCTACCCCACAGCCCATAGCCACACATCCCCAGCGAAGGTCTGCCTAGCCCCATGGGTGAGAAGCAATAGGAAAATCCTAGCATGCAGCCCAGAGTCAAATGGGGATGCTCCTGGTTATCTGCCCTTCAGACGAGTCACACCTCCCACTTGTACAGAGGTCAGCAACTAACACTAGGTGCCTCCTTCTCTCCTTCCTGGAGCCCGGGAGAGAGGGCCCCAAAAGGCCATGGGGCACCTCCTGGCCCCATTCATCAATTTTCCATGAAGTCATTGCTGAGTGTTTCCAGGGTGTCTAGACTACATGTGTGGGAGGAGGGGAGGGCTCAAAGAATAACAATGCCCTCCTCTCCTATTGTCCCCTGAGGTCTGCAGGGTGCTTTCAGCACAACCATCCCCCCCATCTCTGTGCCTTGTCAGGCCCCCGGCCCAGCTCCATCAGTTGGAATCTCTCTTCAAAGTCGAAATCAGGGGCCACTGCCCCAGGAAGTCCTCCCTGCCCTAAGAAAACATAGGCTACCCCTCCTGGGAGTCATCTCGTCGGATCTCCTTAGGGTCCTATACAGTAGGGGGGTTCAGGCTCTAATAGAAATGGGGGCTGAGAAACCCGGCATCCATAGGGAGCCCTGAGGACCACAGAGCAACTCAGAAAACCACACATTCGACTCTATCTACGCATTTTTCATCTCCCTCTCTCCTCCCCCTCCAGTCTGTAAGCTCCATGGCAGCAGACACCATGTCTCATTCATTATGCCCCCTTTGGTGTTCTGCACACAGCTGATGCTTAATAAGTGCTTCAGCTTGTGACTTATTTCCTTATTAGGCTGTGAGCTTCATAATCGCACCCTCTTGAATTCTGATACGTCCAGCAAGGTGTTCTGCAAACAGCAGGTGCTTAATAAATGTTTTTTTCCCTTTTCTTATCCTTTCCTAGGCTGTGAGCTGCAAGAATGAGGATAAGACTCCATCTTGCCTAAACTTTGTATTTCATCCAGCACAATGTTCCGTCATAGAAGGTGTTTAATAGATGTTTCTGTCTATTATTCCCATAATTTCTCATCCTACGGAGTCCCATCTGCATTCCCATTATACGGATGATGAAGCTGGGAAGCGCCTGGCCCTCTAACCTGACTCGAGTGTCCTGTAACTTCCCAAAGGGACTCCCCCCTCCCCCCCAGCTCACAAAGGGGGTCCTGGGGGGAGGGGAGGGCATGGCCTCACCTTCGAAGAGGAAGGTCTCGTTCCAGTGGGGGTTCAGGTTCTTCCTCTTGACCTTGGTCTCCAGCTTGTGCTTCTTGTCGGGGAGCAGGTAGATCTTGACGAAGGGGTCGCTGGTGCCACTGAAGTCCTTGGCTGGCAGCTCCTGGGCCTTCATGATCTTCACGGTGAGGGTGGACTCTTGGAAGTTGTAACCCACGCTGAACTGGATCCGGCCCAGGTTCTCCTGGCTGCAGCCTTCGTGGGCCTCGTCATCCTCCGAGCCTGGGGACAGCTGGGGCGGGAGAGACGGACACCCCCGGGGGGCATCAGGGCCAGCCCCCCTGCCCCAATGACGCATCCCTCCGGTCCTGGAGAGAGGGTGGGAGCCCTCTCTGGTTATGGTGAAGGAGCCCCCTGTCCGTAGAAAGCAGCCCTCTCCCAGCACTTACAGCTCATGTCTCTATCTGCTCCTTGGTTTACAAAGTGCTTTCCTCCCGCAAGAACCCCTGGTTCCCCCTCATCTGAGCGCCTTCTCCCTGCTGGTTATCTCCAAATTAGCCTCATCTGTTTCTTCTGGGCACGTGGCCTCCCTCATCAGACTGGGAATTCCTAGATTTGCCAGTGCTTAGCTCGGCGCCTGGCACACGGCAGGCATTTAATAAATTCTTGCTGATTTGATTTGACAAGGACCCTTTGAAGTAGGTAATGCAAGCATTATTATCCCCATTCTAGAGATGAGGAAACTGAGGCCCTGAAAACTTGTAATTCACCCAGAGCCAGAGCTTGGACCCTGCTCTCCTTGCTCCAATTCCAGGGCCTTTCCTCCTCCTCCAGAACCCCAGTATGGGCAAGGGACTTGTGAAGTCACTTGGTGAATAAAGGCCAGAGTGGGTCCCGCCATCTTGCATCTCCTGATGCCAGATCTAGCCATGCCAGCTGCTACTCCTGGCCTGGGTGCCAAGTAAACAGCCCAACATGGTAGGCTTGGGTGGAACCTAGGAGAGGCTGAGGGACACGCTGGGCCCTTATTTGGGTAGGGACACACCGGAGGTATTGGCTGGAGGGCTGGAGGGGACCCCTAGGGCAGGGGATCTCAAGGCCCCTCTGCCGAGCCTGTGGACCCCTTCTCACAATCATCTTAGTGAACCCATAAGACACACAGGATTGCAAGGAAACCAATTCTATGGAAATACAAGGATCAAAATATTTTTGTGAAGAAAAGCTCACATGCCCTAGGTGAAGAACGCCTGCTCCAGTCCAATTGATTAAGCATCGCCCAATGGATTACTCATCTAATGACTTCTGTTTTACAGAGAAGGAAAGTGAGACTCAGAAAGGAATCGTGACTTGCCTCTGGGGCCAAGCAGAATGGACCAATCCCCCTTCTCCACCAGAACCCTTCATGTACCTAAAATTCTCAGCACAGGGCCTGGCACATAGCAGGCGCTTAATAAATGCCCAAGATGACCTTGGTAACAAGTGGCCGAGTCAGGATTTGAACCCGGAAGTCTAAATGAAATGCTTTCTTCATGCCAGTGCAGAGGCTTCTGAAAGCCCCTGAACCTAGATCTTTCCACTGGATGTGGCGATGGGCCGGTGGAGAGAGGGAAGGACTTAGGCCTTTGGCATTCACTTTCCCATTGGGTCAGCTGCAGAGACCATCAAAGGAGGTTCTGGGCAGCAGGAGGGCTCCTCTCTAGAGCTAGGACCCTCTTCTCTCTGATCTGGTCCCCTGACTTTGATTTCACTAAATTACAGAATCTTGGAGCAAGAAGGAACCTCAGAACCCATGTGGATCACTGAGACCCTGAAACAGAAAAGCCCTCTACAGCCCCCTGGGCATCTCGCCTCATCTTGGAAATTTCCAGCTCTGAGAGACTCACTACCTTCCGAGGCAGTCCATTCTACATTGGTATGGCCCTGATGGTTAGCAAGTTTGTCTCTACACTTCACTTTCCACCCTAGCTCCTGGTTTGCCCCTCAGGGCCAAGCAGATTAAGTCTAAGCTCTCTTCCACACAACAATCCTTCAGATATTCAGATAAACATGTCTTCTCCCCCCTCCAACCTCTTCTTTACCAGGCTAAACATTCCTCCCTCTTCTGATTCTGCGTTCCTCCCCCTCCTGGAGCAGTCATCAGCACACGCTCCCGGCTCCTCAATGTACTTCCTAAAATAGGGTGCCCAGAGCCAAGGGCTGGGCTGACCCTTTTTTTTGTGCGTGTGTGTGGGGGTGGCGCCAGGCCAGGATCACTGCCTCGAGGACTCCTGGGCCTCTTACAGGCTCGTCACCAGGCTCTGCATGCTCTCGCACCACCATAGCCCCAAGCCCTAATTAACCAGATCTGGGATGGCACAGTGGAGCCGTAACTATGGCAACCTGGCTGGGCAGCCCCCACCGGAGCCCCAGGGGGACAGGCAGCCTGAGACCCTTCTCCTTCAGAAGGCATCATCAAAAAGGCTTCAAAGGCAACCCTGTCCGCCTGACTGTATCTGAAGTGAGGCTGACCCCTTGAGAGGGGTGTGGCCAGGCCTCCCTCCCCTCCTCCACCAGCCTCAACTTCCGGGTCTGGATTGCTCAGAGCTTGAAGCTCATGTAGGAAGGGCTGGGAGGCTTTTGGGTACGATATCTCCATGGAAGCTTGCAGAACCCCCCAAAGGGAGGTGTAGTAATTATTCCCATTTCACAGAAACTGAGGTGCAGGTTAAGGGCAAGCCTGAGGCAGGAGGCAAAGCCGGGCCTTGTCACTCCCAGTGGGAGGGATCTTTAGAGGTCCTCTAGATTAGGGGTCCTTATGGGGGTCCTGGGCCCTTGAAGCAGTCTGGGGAAGCCTATGGACCCAAAAACGTTTGTAAGCACAGAAAGTATACACAATTACACTGAAATACAGTGATTCAAAAGCTAAAACTCCACCCCTCCTCACATTCACAGATCTCAAGTCAAGACCCTTCCCCAACCCAGTCTGGTCTAACCAGATGTTATGTTACAGATGTTACAGATGACGAAACTGGTGCAAAGGCTTTGGAGAGGGGAAGCAATTTTCTTGAGGGAATGAATGTTCCATTAAGGGTTAGGAGATCTAGGCTTGAATCCTGGTTCCCATACTTAATTAACTATATGGTAATTCTCTTAGCTGCTCTGTGCCTCAGTTTCCCCATCTGTAAAATGGGGATAATAACACTTGTACTGTCTCCATCACAGTTTTGCTTCAAGGAGAGCCCTTTGTAAGCTATCACCGTCCTGGGCTTAGCAAATGTGATGGCATAGTAGAGCTGGAGGGGAACTTAGAAATAATCCAGGCTTTCCACCTATAGCTGGGGAACTGAGGCCCAGAGATAAGGAAACTAAAGCACCGAGAGGTAGGTGAATGATGTGACCAAGGTCATACATGTGATCATAGAACTTAGGATGGGATTTTGAGCAGGAGGCCAGAGTCCACACCCCTCCCCCATTTTTGCCGATGTGGAAACTGAGGCAGGATTTGAATAAAGCTTCCGTGACTCAACCCAGTGCCCTGATCACAATGTCAGGCCACCTCTGGCAAGGTGGCGGGCAGCAAAGTCATGATTCATAACCGGGTTCTCTGACTCTGACCACTGAGTGGCAGATTGGAGCAAAGAACTTGGGAGCAATTATCCCTCTCCTGGTTGCTGCCTTGAACCTTGTTATTAGAGCTAATGACCTGGTCTATCTCTGGCTAATTCCATTCTATTCTCCTCCTCCTCCCCAGAAACCAGGAGATGGGGAACCAGTCCCAGCCTCCCTCCCTCCATCTGCCTCCATCGCCTCCAATGGGCAAGACACCAGAGGCAACCGCACATCAGGGCTGGGCCTCCAAGGGCCTTCTGGGAGCCCTACCTTCAGGAACCAATCAAAAAGGCATTCAGGGACCCGTAGGGAGGATGCCACTGACTAGGAAGGATCATGGGAATTAGATCTGTCTGAGCAGAAAGGGAGACATGGGAAATCAGGAGACAAAGTCCCCGACGGAATTCCAGACAGACTTGGAATCAGGTTAGGCGTCCAAAAGGATACAATGAATGGATGGAGAAGAGAGACCACTAGGCGAGGTCAGTACCTCAAAGCTCACCCAAGGAGTCAGGGCTGGGGAGCCTGAGAGGGAGAGAAGAGCCGGAAGGAGGGGCCAGCCCAGCAGGGCTGTGTCTGATCTGATAGGACAAGAAAGACATGGGCCGCTGGAGCTGCAAAGCCAGGGACATGCCCCTCTGTGGCCTCCAGAGCTAACTCCATTGCATTCCATCCGGGCTCAAGTCATGCATAAAAAGCCTCAGTTTCCCCTAGAGCCCCTGTTACCCAGGAACGTCTGGGTAAATTCGGGCTGGACTTGGAGGCTGGAAGACTTGAGTTCAAATGTGTCTTAGACACTGCCTGTGTGACCCTGGACATTCACTGTCAGCTCCTTCATCTGTACAATGAAGATAATAACAGCATCTGCCTCACAAGGATGTTGCGAAGACAGAATGAGATTTCATCTAGAAAGGCTGTGCAAATCTTAGTATTCCTTCCCAGCACCTAAGTGATTTCCCCGGTATCCTGGAAGAGGAATCCAGCTCAATCCCAGAAGTATATTCTGCTCCCCCTTCACCTCTCTCCTCCCCCACTTCATCTCTGCACAGAATGGTTACTGGGTTGGGATCCAGAGGTGTGCCTTCAAGCCCTGTTTCAGGTATTTAGCAGCTCTGAGACCACAGACAGGCAAGTCATTTCCTCTTTCTCAGCCTCAGTTTTCCCATTTGTAAAATGGGGATAATAATAATTATCACCCTGAACTCGCACCCTCTGGCGATCTATGTAAGGGTGTTCAATCAACCATAAAGCACCATACAAATTCGAGCTAGGATTAGGATGCCTGCTCCTGCAGGTCAGCCACGTCAGGGCCTCTCTGGGATCACAGGAGTCTACAGTTGATGAGAGGGGCCCCTGATGAACCGTCATGGCCCTTTTATGCCAGCAGGGGGAGTCACATGATACTATAGAATGTCTGGGCTGGAAGGAACCTTAGGACATAGAACGTGGAATGGAGAGCTCCATGAGACCCCAGAACAAAGAGGGATGTCAGAGCTGAAAGAAAACTTAGAACTCATCTCGTCCAAACCTTGTATTTTACAGATGAGGAAACCATGGCTCACAGAGTGTTCCTTGCCTCGAGTCACTTGGCTCACAAGGGGGCAGAGCTAGCACTTAAATCCCTGTCCTGGCAACAGCACAGTGGAAAGAGCTTTGGATGTGGGAGCTGGAAGATCTGGGTTCAAATCTCAGCTGTTCCTTGCTATCTGTGGGAACTTAGAATGTCCCTTCCACTCCCTGGGCCTCAGTTTCCTCACCTGTAAAATGAGGGGATTGGACTAGTGGCCTTGGAGGTCCCATCCAACTCTGGAGCTAAGATTCTGCTGTCTTCTGCTACCCCGTGCTTTTCACACCATGATAGGCCATAACCTCCCATCCCCCAATGCCCCGCTGCGGCATTCGCTTGGAGGTGTGGTTCAGTCAGAGATCCCCAAATCCCAGTCAGATCCAATCCCCCAAAGGGGTTCACTCTTGCAGCAGATCTGATGGGAGAAGGTCAGGTCACATGGGTCCCTGACTCTATGCTAGCTCAGCCTCAGGAGAGGTCAGGGACAGTAGGCTCCTCACACCAACTCCTCTTAGCTGTAAGAGGAAATTACAACTAAAAACTGAGTGAGAGACCCAGGATGATCCTGGCTAATTGAGGGACTTTCTCTGGCCTCAGTTTCTCCTACCTCATCGGTCTCTTCCTCTGTGATAACAGGACTCTCTTCTCTTTGATCAGGGCCACTAAGGATTGATCTCAAAGGGTTTTCACTCTCTATCGTCTCATTTTATCGTTCACAAGGACTCTGCTAGGTTGGGAGGGAGGGTAGGAGCGATAGTCTGTACTTGACAGATGAGGAAACTGAGTCCCAGAGAGGTGAAGACTCAATGTCACTCAGCTAGTTTGGTGGCAGAGATGAGCCTAGAAGTCCAAATTCATTCACTCACTGAACAAATACTGGTTTAACCCCTACTATGGATAGCTGCTGCCACCTCCTATCCATCCTCCCCCACCATGATCACTCCCAGCCCTGCAGGACCATGGGAACCTACAGGAGATCCAGAGCTGGAAAGGACTGGAGAAGGCATGGACTCTAACTGCCTCATTTTACATATGAGGAAACTGAGGCACAGAGAAGTTAAGTGACTTGCCCAAGATCAAGTGAGGCATAGTGGGCATAGTGCCAGACAGGGAGTTAGGAAGACCTGAATTCAAATCTTGCTCTAGACATTTCTTAGTTGTTCACCTCAGGCAAGTCACTTAATCTCTCCCTGCCTCAGTTTCCTCATCTGTAAGATGGGAATAATGATAACACCTCCCTTAGAGGGCTTGTTGTGAGGATCAAATAAGAGGATGTTTGTAAAGCACATTGCAAACAGTAATGTGCCATATTAGCTGTTGGGTTGATCAATTTTTGAGCTGAGATTCAAGCCCAAGGCCTCGGACCCCAGCGCTCTTTGAAGTATTCCACACTGTCTCCCAAAGGAGCCAGGGAACACACGCACATAGTAGGTGCTTCCCACAAAGCTGTTCAGCCTGTCTTAAGGACTTTCCCTTAACTCAAATGGCAGACTGACAGGAACCCCAGGCCTCTTTCCCAGATGCCCCAGTGCCTAACATCACACTCTCTCTGACCCTAGTTACAGTTAAGGGAGGGGGGCATGGCTCACCTTCCTCCTTTCCACCTCCCGCGCAGACCCACCCCATCCTTCTCACCATGAGCATCTCGCTGGTAAGGGAGTTGACAAGGTCTGAGACAGAAGACCGAGGCTCAGTCCGGCGGTCGGACTCATCGTGGGGCGTTTGGCCCGGGACAGGGGCTGTATTCACAGCCTTCCCACCTGCTGGCAACCTAGGAAAAGAGTCTGAATGAACGTCTGGCTGGAGGGTGGTGTGGGCTAGGCACCAGGGAACTAGCCGGGCAGGTGATCAACCTTATGTACATGGGCCATAGGCTGGCCCGCCCCCACCCCCACCCCTACCCGACCCTCCTGCTGCCGACTCAGGCCAGCACTCTGGGCCTCCTGGTGCTTGCCTCCCCCATCACACTGATCTCACTTTCTACCCCATTGCATCCTGCCTGCTCCTTGACCAGGTGTCAACCCCCAGGGCTTCTCTATGTCTTCCCCACAGGCATCAACTGCCTTCTGGCTTGGCCCCAGGGATGCCTCACTTCACTGGGGTGAGCCTCCCCTGCAGTTTTGTCCCTAAACCTTGGGGCTCAGTTTATCAGCTCCCTCTCCTCTTTCCAATAGGCCCTACAGACTCTTTGAGGACTCCCCCAGGACTCAAGTTCCTTAGAGACAGGCTTTCCCTGGCTTCATTTCTAGCTCTCCCAGTTACTGTCCTCCCTGACCCTTCCTTCTGGGAGTGCCCATGCTCTCTATGGCTTTCTCCTACAATGGAGTGATCCCTCCCAAGTACCACCCACCTCCTTCCTTCTCCCCCCACTCCAACCCTGCTCCTCCATTAGTTTTCCTGGGCCCACTCACCCCAGGTGGCAGGAGCCTGGCTGGGTGCTCCCAGGTCACATCTACACATCATTACTCTCTACAAACATGCCCCAACCGTCTGTCACTCAGAGGCCCCCACCTGTGTTTGCTCAGGCTGACGGGAGGAGATTCAGATAGGACACAGCTGCCAGGGCATTAGACTCGGCGCCAACATAGCCCTTCAGGGGGCAGGGAAGGATGGATTGATGTCGTGGGAGTGAGGAGACTCAATGTGCCAAGGAGATCCTCCCTCCCTCCTTCCCCCGACCCCCACCAAACTGATGTAGCCATTGACTGAATCTCCTAACCCCTCCTTTGCTCCCCGATTTGAGATCCCCACGCTGTGGTGAGGCTGTCTCCCCATCTAAGAATTCTTGGGGATCAGAAGGTCCCTTTCTTATTACCTCCCATCCATAGGAAAGGTGTCTCAAGGTAGACGCTCCTGGGGGTCTTATGAGAGGCCCTGAGTCTGGTCCACCTGCCTCCTCGGCCCGGCCCGTTGTCCGCCACCAGCCTAGGCTGGGGGGAGGCCACATCCTTTCGGGAGGCTCTCTGGCTACTCCCTGGGAGGGGTCCTTACGGCTGGCTGGTGGCTGAACCTGGGCCCCCCTTCAGCCCTCAGCGGAGAGGGAAAGTGAATGGATGAGGACCAGGCTGGAGCATCCCAGGAAGAGGACGTGGGAGCAGGCAGAGAGGACAGACCAGTAGCGTGAAGCTGAGGACAAGCTCGAGTAGAATGGCGTTGGGAGCGCCAGGCCACGGCCGGTCTCTGGAGACGCACGGACTGGACACGAGCGAGGGGGCGCCAGCAGAGAACGGCAGCAAGCGTACACGGGGCCAGTCGGACATGCAGTCAGACACGCCACGACCCCGGGAAGAGGACACCCCAGTCAGACGGTGGGAGGAAGGGGCCTGCGCGCACACACGTACACACGCACAAACCCGCGTAAATACACCCCTCCCCGGGATGGCAGCCAGCGGGGGACTGGCACGGGGCGCACCGTCCCGCAGCACAGCGGAGAGGAACAACGCCCAGGGGAAGCTGGGCACGCCGAGCGCTGTGTGTGAATTAGTACACACTGAATCAGGGCGGGGGGTGGAGGGTGTGTGGAAGCGAGGGAGGATCCGGGGTGTGTGCACACACACACACACACACACACACATGCACACGCACACGCCTGGTCTCAGCTCGGCAGACACAGCATGACAATCTGCCTCCCACCCTCCTCCCCCAACCAAGACACACCCCCCCGACCATGACCACATCGCTCAGAGAGGAGATGCGCGCGCGCACACACACACACACACACACACACACACACACATAGAGGACACGTGCTCATGCAGACACAGGCACAGGGAGGAAGGAGGAGACTGAAATAGCTGGAGAGGTAAAGTCAGGTTAAAAATAGAGAGTGGGACAGGAGGAGAGAAAGAGAGAGAGATTGACGGTTGAAGGTATGGAAAAACGTGGAGTTCTTTTGGAAACACCAGAGCAGCAGCACAGCTGCAAAGCAGCCTGGGAGACAGATGGAGCCGCTGAGGCTGTCAGAGGTTACAGGACAGAGAGGGAGAAAAGGGGGGGGGGGCTGACAGAGAGAGACAGAGAGAGAGGGATGGATAGAGAGACAGAGCCAGTGGAAAGGCCTCAGTCACTGGCTGAGGGTCGGTCCCCTGTGAGGAGCAGATGGGAAGGAGAAGAAAAGAGACAGGGAGAGAGGTTAGTCAGAGAAAAAGCAGGCACGAGACGTTTGGGGGCGGGGGGCCACCGGGGCGGACAAGGTGGAGCGGCGATGGCCAGGAGGAGAGGCAGAGAGGAGGGCAGGAGCACACACCGAGGGACAAGAAAAACATGGCAGAGTCTTGAGCAAGGAGAGCAGTGGGAGTAGCCTCCTCCCCCCTTCCCCCAAACGGGGGCCTACGGCTGAAACCATCTGGATCCCCGAGGGGATGACTGTGAAAAGGTGCAGCTGAAGGGGTGAGAGGCTGAAATGGAGACTGAGAGATGAGGCGCGGAGTGAGTGGTGAGGCTGGAATGGGCAGAGCCAGAGATGGGGGAGCTGGAGGGGGTGCAGGGCACCTGGGGCAGCAATGGACTCTTGACTCTTCCACGGGGCTGGGGCAGGGCTGAGGGCATTTTAAAGACCCCTTCAGGGGCAATGTGGACCGCAGCTGGCCATTCAAACTCTCAGAGCCCCAGTCCGGGGAAGGAAGTTTTCCCCAGAGCGAGGCTGTTGGAGGGCACCAGGGCTGGTCACTGACACCATGCCCAGATCGCAGATCTAGACCTGGATGAGGACCTTGGGGATCACTGGGTGCATTTTACAGAGGAGGGAACTAGGAGGAGGGCGGGCCACCCCTCCCTCAAATGCCCAGCTCCCATCTTGGCCCCACCATTTATTTTCCCCTGCTTACTTTCCTCTGGCCTGACTGCCCTCCCAATCCCAGGCTTCCTTGGGGCTCGGGATGGAGGATGGCGAGGACCCCAGGTCAGCCTTCCTACTCCCCCCCCCCCCATGGCCCTCCTGGTCTCCAGGGAGATTCGCTTTATGAGCCTGTTACCATCCGGAGCAGACTAATCGTTTTCCCCAACAATGATGGGAGACAGATGCTGGGGCCCAGGCGGCCGTGACAGTGCTGAGGGACGGCCCAGAGCTGGGCCAGATGGGGTGGAGGAGGACGGCTCTGAGATGGCCAGCTGGGAGGGCCCTCGGACCTGTCCGGTGCAGCCTCCCTGGCCAGCAGGCAAGACTCGGGGGAGTCAGGGAACCACGGGGTGATCTTGGACTCTCAGTTTCCTCCTCTGGACAATTAGGGACAATTATACAGGGGCGCCTTGCGTGGTAAGGACCAAAGGGGAATTTTCAGTCTTTTTCATGGCTTTGGAGCTGGGCAGGACCCTAGTGGTCACTTAGCCCCCCACCCCTTCCCCGTATTTGACATAAACTGAAGGCCAGGGAGTGATTGTATAGAATCATGTGGAATTAGGGCTGGGGGGGGGCCTTAAAGGTCTTTGAATGTTCCCCCCCCATCATTATACATAAAGAAACTGAACCCAGGACCCAAGGGATCCTCAGGCTCCTCAAATTAATGCTTGGAGTGAAGGACAATGCTGGGATTTGAACCCCAGGCCCTCTGGTGCCAAATGCAGCATTCATTTCATTGTACCATGCAGACAACAGGCATGAAGTGCTTTGGAAGTCTTAAAAATCCAAATGTAAGTCATCAGTTTACAGACTGGGAAACTGAGGCCCCGAAAAGGCAAGAGTCACACAGGTCATAATAAAAGCAGCATTAGAACCCGGGTCCTCTGACTCCAAACTCAGCCCTCTTTCCAGCCTACCATCCTGCCTCTTATGGGGCTATAGATTAGAGGGGAATGAACAGGGTGGAAGGGGATTTTAGACCCCCAGTTAACATCCCTGGGGTCTGTATTAAAGCAGCCTGCCACCCTCTGAGACCTGATCTCATTGTGTCTGCCTCTTCTCCTATAGGGAAAGGTTGAGCTCTCTGCCCACCTCTACCTCTGACCGGTGCCTGGAGCCCCGCCCCCACCCCACCCAGTATGGCCCCATCAGGGTGGCTGATGTCCCATGGGCTCAGACTCCAACTTTCCCCATTACACTCAAAGACATAACTTGGGGTCCTGGGGGACAGAGCAAGGAGCTGTTCTCCATGTTGGGGGCCTTTACGGCAGTGTGGATAGGTGGGATGGTGGCAGCTCTAAATCGGGAGGAAGAGAATTCTTAATGCCCTCCATCTCACCCCTTGGGACCATCCCAAGGGTAGGAGCAGGGGCCTATCAAGGACCCCAAGGGAAGGAGTAGAGATGAATGCCCAGTGGCAGAAGGTGGGAGTCACACTAGCCAGGGTGGGAGAAATGGAATGGAGGAGGATGGGAACGGGGGTGGGGTCCTCCTAGGATCTCAGATTTAGAGCGGGAGGAAACCCTGGAGTCAATCCAGGGGGCAGAAGGCTCTGACCCCACCACCCACCTTTCCCGGTGTCTGGTGGAAAGGACGGGGGGGCCAAGCTGATGTAAGGATCAGATGGGATGCATTCAAGTATGGTGTGAAAGCCAAGTAACAAGAAGGTAAAAATAGGCTGTGGGTGAAAATGGTGCCAGCTAATTAGCACATGGGTAATGTGAAATCTTGTTTCCAGCCTACATCTGCTCCCTCACGCTTCACACCTTGTTTTTCGCGGCTCCCCGGAAGGGTTCCAGCCTTTTCTACCACCTCTCTCCCCTCCCTGCCCCTTGGGCTCTCCCAGTTTCAAGGCTCTAGCCGGAAAGGACAATGTGGCATCTCTGGTGGGGGCCATGGAGGTGGTAGGAGGGAGGTGGGACCCACATGGAATGCCCATGGGCATGAGGGGGGCCAGGATCCTGGAGTCTTGTTGGGCATGCTGGGATGGTGCCAAGACATGCCACGAACCAAAGGAAATCAGTCTGACTCCCCTCTCCCTCCCTCCCTCCCTCCCTCCTCCCAGGCTCTGACTTGGCTCACCCCAGACATGCAGCCACTTCTGGGTGGGGATGGCCCAGATGATGCAGCCACCGGGTCTGGCAGGGCAGCCAGCGAGACAGCTCGTTTCCAGGAGAAACCAGGGGGCCGGAAGAATCAGCGTCCCAGCTCGAGGGATCCAGAGCCCTGGGCCTGGCCGCGAACAAGCTCTTTCCCCCCTCCACAAGGTCCTATGGTCCCTTCCTGTCCCCCAGGACCTCTTCCTAAGCTTCAAGGTCTCCCTTGGAGACAGCAGCCCATCCCCCCCAGCAAATGTGACAAGCTTGCAGCCCAGAGCCCCAGGCCCCGCAACTCTCATTAGTGTGACAAGAAGTAGAATTAGCCGGGGTGACCAGTGCTCTGCTTGGGGCCTTGTCTGTCAGAGAATCACAGGCTTGTTGAAAGGGACCTTAGCGATCATCGAGCCTGCCTCCCTTGTGCTGCAGAGGGGGAAACTGAGGCCCGGAGACGGCAAGTGCACATTATATTTTCCCAGTAGAATGTAAGCTCACTGAGGGCAGGGACTGCTGTATATGGGATTCGTATGCCCAAGCTACAAATAGGGTGCCTGGCACACAGTAGGTACTTATTCCCTTCCCCATTGGTAGATGTCTACTGAATTGAATGGGAAAAGGTTGTTCGGGGAGAAGTAGGGAGGGCTCAAGCTTTGAGCTGGAGCCGTCACTTGACTCTAACTTCCGTGGTCTTTGCACTGGGCCTTGCGGTCTGTCTGCCCTCCTCCATCAGGAAGCTGGGCTCGGGAGCAAGCCAGGCAGCTGAGCCCGTGCAAGGTCCCTGGAGCAGCCTGGAAGCCTGGGCAGGGGAGGCCAGAGCCAGGCTTAGGTGGCACTGGGTATCTGCGGACCTCGGGCCAGGGCTGGGTAGCCTTGGCACCCCCCTCTCTCCCAGACCCTGTCCTCCAAAGGTACTGGGTCCCAGCTGCAGATTGCAGTGCTTTCTGTAGTGTGTCAGGGGGCTCCAGTTTGGAAAGCTCAGCTACATCCTTCCTATTTAGCCTCTGCCTATGGCTATACTGCCTACCCTCTTGGCACAGCCCTGGCCTCTTTCCATAAGCCCTACCTTGTCCTCATCCTGACCTGGGGCCTGGAACCGGCCTGAGCTGTGGGGCCTGGGGCTGTGATGACTGGGCTTCTGCCATCTCTCCCCACCAGCTAGCAGTGACCCTTTCCCTTTCTCCTCTCCCTTGCCCTTCCCAGTGGTGGCCTCTCCCCAACCCCTGCTAGTTTTTTCCACCGCCCTTGCATCCCTCCTGAATATAGCCTTATCTTCTAGATTTTTGGTTCCACCTTGGCGTTCCCCTGAAGTCGGGGCAGGGTGAAGCCCCCTGAGCTCAGGGAACGCCAGAGGCCAAGAGGAGGTTGGGGTGGGGGATGAGGGAGTCCAGGCACATATGCCTGACATATCCCTAACATCTCCCTACTCACCAACCACCAGAGAAACAGGGATTTCCAAGGAGTGGCAGGCAGAGATGAAAGATGTAGGCAGCAGGAGGGAGCTGAACGGGAAGATGGAAGGGGGCAGAGCTGGGGGTCGCTCCCTTCACAGAGGAGTGGGAGGCAGGGGCAGAGCCTGGGGGTGCAGGTGTGATCCAGATTGGTCCCAGGATGGTCCGAGTGACCCAGGCCTGAGAAAGCATCACCGAGATGGTGATGAGATTGAAAGGCATCCACCTGGGGGGGGAGGGAGAAGCATCCTCCACCCCCCTCCCCAAGCTGACAGTGAGACCCCAGCGGCTGGGGCCTCTTCCTCCTCTTCCTCCAGCCCTGGGCAGGGCTGGGGTTGGGGGACCCTCTCTGCGCCTCCTCCTCCTGCTGTGGCCGGAGGGGCCTCGCCTTTGCTCATACCTCTTGTCCCCCTGAGCGCTCTGGTTCTGTTGAGTTCCTGGGTTTTGCAGGTCAGGGATATTGGCAAAGTCATCCTGTTCCGAGAGCCCTAACACCAAGGATAGCACCACCATCCGGCCTTCCCTGCCCAGGACGGGGGCAGCCCGCCAGCCAGCCAGTCAGGCAGCGAGACGAGGAGGCCCCAGAGGCAGCGAGTGAGCAAGAAAGGGAAGGAAGGAGAGAAGGGAGAGAAAAGAGAGAGAAAAAAGCATAAGAAACCAACTTTGGAGGAAGAAAAAAAACACACTCAGCATTGTCAATAGCCGTAGAAGGAGAAAATGGGAGGGAGAGGAGAGGAGGTGTCCATGGCCCAGACCCAAAGCTCATCCTCATGGGGCAAAGGGCAAAAGCTACAATCTGGGAGAGAGTGGGGGAGGAAGGAAGAGGGTTCAGTAGACGGCTCTTGGAACACCTGGTGGGAACCTTGGGGACCAGGGCACCACAGGGTCATTGAGCTTGGGACTGATTCTGGTCTCTGTGCCTTGTTCAGGTTTCCATTCAGGAAAATGCCCCCTACCTGGGGAGGGTTACAGACCCTGACCGACCCGGCTCAGGTCATAGGCTAGTACCCTCCAGCATTCTGAAAGTGAAAGGGACCCAAGTGGGCGTCTTGTCCAGCCTCGACCCAAACTGGAATCACCCTCTAGAACATACCTAACATGTGGTCCTCCAGTTCGTTTGCAGGACTCCAGTAAGGGGAGCAGGAATTTCCACTTTGGGCCAGTTTTGCTTGTTAGGAATTAGGCTGAATTTGGCCTCCGTGACTTTCATCCAATCAGATTTAAAGCTAGAGGGGACGTTGGGGGTCATGGGATCCAATCCCTTCATTCTGGAGGCGCAGCAATTTGCCCAAGGTTACTCAAGTAGTAACAGGCAGAGTCAGGATTCGAACTCAGGCCTCGGGACTCCAGCTCCAACGTCTTTCCCCTGCACCACCATGTTGTCTCCTCCTCATTGCTCCCAGCTCTGGCCTCAGGGACCAAGAAGAATGGTTCTGATTCTTCTGCCATGGAATAGCCTTTTGGATTCTTGAAGACAGAACAGATCACACATTTTCTGCTCTGGGCTTGCCATTCCCAGTTTCTTCACTCCATCCTCGAATAGCACGGTCTCCAGCGCCCTCAAAATCCTGGGCACCCTCCTGTATCCACTCACTTGTCTTAACGTCTCTCCTAAGAAATGGCCCCAAGACCTGAACACAGTGCTCCAGATGTGATCTGCCTAGGGCAGCACGCAGGTTTGCCAACTGACCCATTCTACCACTTGCTGAATCCAACTGAATTGGCTAGAATTTCACTGTGGAGGGCAGGGTGTTCTTACTGCTACATTAGGACCATTTATGTGTCTAGTTTTTTGTTTTATTTTGGTAATTGAATTGCCTCCTTCATTCTGGGCATTATGATACTGCTAATATAGCCTCACAGGGCAAGCAGACAAGATCTGAGCCCTCTAGACCATTGGGAGATGAAGGAGGAATGTCTCTCCAGGCAGCTTCGACTGGGTTTGAGGAAAGACGTGGCATCAAATTGATGCTCCCTCTTCTTCTGGCCCAAGAAACACAATAGCTTCTGAGCTAAGGAGCCTCCCTGGGTCAGGATCATCGGAACTGCTTCTGGTGTTAGAGCCTCTCGCTCTCCAGTTTGGCTACGATACCATTCAAAGACTTCTCCCCGAGAAGGAGCCGGGTTGAAGAATCCAAGGGGAGTGGGGAATGGTTTAATGCTAGCCCAGGGACCTTTCACTAAAACATGGTCCAAGAAGGTCTTGGAATGCGAAGGAGGAGACTCGGAGAGGGTGAAAGTTGTAACGGATGTAGGAAAGTAGGAAAACCAGGGCTTCACTAAGGAAGTTCTAAAAGGACATCAGTATAGACAAGAGGATGGACCAGTTCAATGGATGATGCAGAGAGCAAGGATATTTTTTGAGGAAGGTAAGAACAAAACTAGGGAGGAGATACAAAGCTATTGGAAGAAGAGGGAGCTCGGAGCTCACGTTGAGGCATCTAGCAGCAGTAGCCAGCTACATCTTCCTCCTGCCTAACAGCATAAGAATTGGCTAGGTTTGCTTTGTGGAAGACAATGAACCTTGCTGGTCCCCTGAGAAGGCAAGAGATGGTGGGAGTCTAAAAGGAATGCACAAAAGTGGAAGGGTGGAGGTGTCTCAGAAGGCAGACCTGGTGGGCATGAGAATGTGCTAGAGAAGGGAGAATAGGGTAGCGGAGAGGGCACTGGTCCTGGAGGCAGAAGACCTAGGTTCAAATCCCAGCTCCAACATTATATGACCAAGATAAGAATGGTTTCTCATCCATAAAATGGGGAGGTCACCTGTATTTAATACCTTGATGGGTTGGAGATTTAAAGCATTTCGTGAGCATCAGTGCAAGGTTTCTTCACTTGACCTGAGTCTGTGAACTTGTTTTTAAAATATTTTGATAACAATATTTCCAAGTCGACAAACATTTATTAGGCACTTACTGCATGCCAGGTGCTGTGCTAATTTCAATATAATTGGGTTTCTTCGTCATGCTATGTGTTTTATTTTATGCATTTTAAAATATGATCATGAGAAGGCTTCACCACACTACCCTAAGGGTCATGGCACAATAAAAAGTTAAGAAACATTCCCCCCCCCATAAATGTGGATTACTATCACCAAAAATGAGACCACTGAAGCACTTTGAATAGTACAAAATGCTACACGTAGTTGCAGTGTGATGATAATAACACTTATTCTTAGGTTTTGTACGATTGTATATGTGTGTGTGTGTGTGTGTGTGTGTGTGTGTGTGTGTGTGTGTAATATATAATGTATATAAATACTTGATAGCAAATTGCTTGCTTTTTTAAGGAGGGGGGAGGAAGAGAGAGAATTTGGAACTCAAATTTTTTTTTAAGAAAACCAATGTTAAAAATTGTTTTTACATGAAATTGGAAAAAATAATTTTTTTTTTAATGAGGCAATTAGGGTTAAGTGAGTTGCCCAGAGTCACACAGCTAGTGTTAAGTATCTGAGGCCCAATTTGAACTCAGGTCCTCCTGACTCCAGGGCTGGTACTCTATCCACTGTACCGCCTAGATGCCCTGAAAAAGTAAAATTTTAAAATTTAAAACAAAAAATAATTAAAAAATAAAAACATTATTCTTTTTTTGAATGCTTTTTTTAAACTTTTTTTTTGCAAGGCAATTGGGGTTAAGTGACTTGCCCAGGGTCACACAGCTAGTAAGTGTGTCAAGTGTTTGGTTTGAGGGTGGATTTGAACTCAGGTCCTCCTGACTTCAGGGCCGGTTCTCTATCCACTGCGCCACCTAGTTGCTCCTAAATGCTTATTTCTTAGAGGAGAAGGTGGAAAAGATCTGAAAAGGGCCAGAAGGGGTGGCAGTGGAGGTGAGTTGGTCAGAAATAGAAATAGATACCACCCAAGGGGTAGAGTGTACTATCCCTGTCTGATGGACAGGGGCAGCCGGCTGAGCTGATATGTTCTCTAACTTTGGGGAAATAACATACCCCTACACTCCTGCCTGACCTGAAATCTCCTCCCCTTTGTTCTTTGCTCTTTTTGACTTGGTAAAATTCCATCTGGCTTCCAGAAACAAAACACCACCATGTTTCTCCCCTAGTTAATGCATTTTCTGATGCTCTTTTGGCCCTCCGTGAACTCCAAATGCCTCTTCTCCATAAGCGCCAACCTTCTACAGGCCTGAATGCTACAACCTTTGGGAGCCAGGATGTTGTGGGTGAAGTTTCTTTTTTTTCCAGAATTGAGGGAGGAGGAGGGAAAGGTTTGGTATTGGACTTCATGCTTTGCTTGGATGTCTCCAATGTCCTTGTCAGGTAATGCTATGTACCCTTGTGCTGGGGTTTTGTCCACTTGTGAGACTGGGAGAGCCTGTGGAGCAGGGACTACTTCTTACAAAAACTTTGAAAAAAAAAAAAAAAAACTTTGTATCTCCTACGGCATTCAGGACAAGGCTCTGAACAGAGCAAATGCTTAATAAATGTTTCTTGAATGAAAAGAAAGCAGCCCATGTTGGAGGACACTAGTGCCACCATTTTGCTAGAGTAAAGAACCACCACTCTCCCCATGGAAAGGGAAGGGTACTGGGAAGGGATGGGCAAACCATAGGTGGGATCTCAGAGGTCAGATAATTCATTCCCATCTAGATTATAAGCTCCTTGAAGGCAGGGACAATTTCATTTATCTTTCTATTCCCAGTACCTAGCATAGTGCCTGGCACATAGTGGGGTTTAAGACATACTTGTCAATGGGTTGATTGGATTTCAGTGGGTTTGTGATCCAGTAAATTAGCAGCAGTCTCCCTCTATTAATCTTTGGTCAAATTAATGAGCCTCTGAGCCAGGTCATAATGATAATTGTAACTCAAATTTCTATACTATCCTAAGGGTTATAACAACTTCATGAGGTAAGCAGGTAGAGCTATTAGACCCATTTTATGGATGAAGAAACTGAGGTTTGAGGGGTTAATGTGATTTGCCAACCATCACACAGTTAGCATGACATCAGAGCCAGGGTCCAAATGCCAGGTGTCTCAATTCCAAGTCCACCACTTCTCCAGTTATCAATAGTGATAACTGGCATTGGAATTTAAGGTTTGCAAAATGGTTTTGCCCACACGGCCTTGTTTTGTGCTCATAACACACCTGGGAGGCAAGTATTAAAGGTAGCGCCATAGATTTAGAACTGGAAGGGACCATGGACTAGAAGTCCTCTCGTTCTGGCCCCCTCATTTTAAAGATGAAGAAGCTGAGGTCCAGATTACGAGTCAAGACTGGACTCCGGGTCTTTTGTTTCCGAGTATCTCCCTATCCCCAAACCACACTGCCTCTGAAGGTCAGCCATCAAGGATCATCAGTTCTGGGAAGGGTCAATGGCTAGAGGGCACTAGTGGTAGTGCAGTGTGTGCAAGGACCATATGCCCATTTTACAGACAAGAAGAGCCAGCTTCAGAGAGCGAAGGTTCTCGCTCACAATCTCAAAGCTGGGACTAGGACCACGGCCTTTCATCCCAAGTCAGGGCTTTCTCCCATGACTGCTGAGGGGGAGGGGAGGGAATGACGAGCAAGCCAGGGGATGGGGAGGATGGCAGTGAGGTGGGGAGTGAAGCCACAAAACAGGTCCTCGATGAAGATTTGCTGGGGGACTGATCCTGGAGTTGGAAGGCTTTTGCTTTTGAGCACAGATGAGATTTGAGCATGAGGACCCAGATGGGCTGTGACCTTCACTGGTGAATGGAGCCCTCTCCGCATGGATGAGATTGTGGGGCCTTCACAGCATCTGAGCAGGGACACGGGGGTGGCAGCTATAACTAGGTCTGAGGGGTTGGTTGGGAGCTGAAGGATGGGTGTTGCGGGGATGCCGGTGGTGGTAGACTTGGCTTCACGGTGAGATGGAAATTGGAGAAAGGGCATTTTTAAGATAACGTGGATTCGCATGCTTTGGGTGTTCCCAGCGGTAATTTAGGGCAGCTGAAGCATGTCATGGATTATGGGCTAGCATGGAAAGTGAGTGGGTAGATGGCTCAGAATCCCTGAATCCTAGAAGGGAGTAACTTTAAGAAGTCTTGCTCTGCCCTGCAGAGTCACACTTTCAAGCCTGCCTTGACCATCAGAGTTTTCAGCCTCTTCTTAAAATGAACTCTATGGAAGGCGATCCCATTGGGTATCAATGCTCTGAATAGCCAGAGCTGTTGAGGGAGAGCAAGCTGCACCCAGTGGGGCCACGATATCTGGGCACTGAAGGAATGAATGTCCAAACGTCAGGGGCTTCAGCGGAAGGGGGGCTTGAGGTGGAGCATGGTGTGGGAGCCTCACGAATGAATGGAAGTTCTCTGAGGGCAGGCACTGTTTCCATGGTCATACTAGTATCCCCAGCTCCTGGCACATAGCAGACACTTGATAAATGTTTACTGGACGGAATCATGTTGGGTCTTCGCTTTATCCTACGATCCTGTTGGCTTGCCCCCCCCCCACACCCAACAGCTAGCTAGTACGGCTCCAGGGCAGCCCTGTTGATAGGACAACCTGAGAGGTCGGAGCTGAGGCCCCCAGGTAGGCTCTCATAACAGCCTAATCCACGGCTCCAAACTCCGGCTGGTGTTTGGCGCTCTATGTCACCTGCTCCCAAACCTTCCCGTAGGGCATCGGCAGGTTCTCTTCATCCCTTGTCTGGCTGGGCATCTTGCCCCTGGTTGGTTGGATGTGCTAGTGCCCTTGTGGACGTCTTCCTCATCTTTGGGAACAGCTTGGGGGGTCACCCTTCCCAAGTGGTGCAAGACTCCAAACCAATGCTTGAACTCAGCCTGTTGGGAAACTGACATAGGAATTAAGTCCCATTCTAGTTCCGGGCATGGAGAAGCAGGTGGCATGAGGCCTCTGAGGCAGGACCACACCACACACATATGCTGGCGTCCTTTTCTAAGAGAGTGGGCACCTTCTCTGGGCACCAAGGCTTTGTCTGATTCCCAGAAAGCTCAAACAAGCCTCTGCCCTCTTCCTTGGCCATAGGAAGATGGTCTCAGTAGCCCACATGGAGGTAGGGGGTCAGGCAGCTTGGGAGCGCCTATGTCCTCCACCATAAAGATTTGGGTGCCCCCAGTAACTAGACTTTCTTGCTTATTGAGGAGGTCCCTTGAGTGTAGCTGTCTCTTCTTCTTGCCTGAGTTGACTTCTCTTGCTCTGTCCCCAGGCATGTGTGTGTGTGTGTGTGTGTGTGTGTGTGTGCTGCAAGCAAGGTTCTACCCCTCCACCCTGCGCTCAGGACACCCAAGGAGCCCCTTACCTGTAATGGGGCTGGGAGAAACATGCCCCTCAAGAAGAACAGAGGGAGATGGGAGGAAGCCCAACAGTTTACAATGGGTCAGCGTGTGGCCAGACAGCCACCACTGTCCCAATCTCTAGTCTGAAAGGGCTCTTTCTCTCTCTCTTTCTGAAGGACAGTGTTCTAGACTTTGGGGAGCCCTCTTGATCTTCTTGAGGGAAGGGAATGAGGGTAGGCATGGAGGAAAGCCTTGATCATAATCAAACAGGTAGGTGAGTCTCAGGGAAACAGGAAAGGAGATGGGATGAGGTGGGGAAGAAGGAGCTCAGGGAGAGAGAGAAAAGGATATAAGGGGATAACAGGGACAGGGGAAAGGGGGACAGGCAAATGCTAGAGAGAAGGAATAGGAGGAAGAAGGAGAGATGGGCTTTGGTTACTGGGAGACAGAGCTGGGACAGGAAAGTGATGGGGGCAGGGTTGGTTGTGACCGAGAAAGGGGCAGATCAGGGGAAAGGAGGTGAAAAGTAGAAGGGAGGAAGAGGGATCCAGAGGAGATAGAAAGGGATCAGGGCAAGAGAAAAGGAGTCTTTGGTAATGGAGTCGGGGTGGGGCAAGGAGGACAGAGATGAGCCAGGAGGAGATGGACAGGGCAGAGATCAGGGGAGGCCAGGAGGATGGGGGTGGGGGGCATTTTCTGGGTCTTAGGCAAGATTTCTCAGGTTCTCCATCCAATCCTGGGGACCTAGGGATGGCCGAGAGAGGACTGAGGCCATCAGCCACAGAGCCTGGGTGGAGAGAAGGCAAGGCAGGGCAGCCAGAACCCTTCCACTGAAGAAAATGCCCACTTAGGGCTTGAGAGCTAGACCACCCTAAACCAGAGGGTGAGAAATACAGCTGAATCCAGGTGTCAGCCTCTCCCAAGGGTTGGAGAGGAGAGGAAGAGAATAGGAGGAAGGGAGGGGAAGCTGGTCAGTGCCAATGGGATTTGGGGAGGGAAGATGGATGGGAAGTGGGAGGAGGTGAGATTTGGGGGGCATGGGGTGGGACGCAGGCCGTGAGAAGGACTTACAGGAAGGACTTCATGTCCAAGCCTCGGTTTCGAATCTGCCCCACAACGTGGTCCCAGCTGCCTGGGTTGGAGCGGCTGCGGCCCCCAGCTGCCGCCCGGTACTTGGAACCAGCCGCAGTGCCCTGGCGGGCCTGGCCCTGGCCTTGAGCTCGGGGGTTGCTGGCAGCCGGGGCCGAGCTCGTGTGGGCCTGGAGCTGCCCCAAGCTCTGGCTGGTAGTAGGCTGGTTGGGCTGCCGGCCCCTCTGCTGCTGACTCAGTGGCTGCTGGAGGCTCTGCTGCCGGAGCAGGGTGCGGGGTCGCTGGCATTTCGGGTCCCCCGCCGAGCTGGGGATATACTCTAGGGTAGTGGCCGTGGACAAGGTGGAGTCCTCAAAACTTGGGGCCGGCAGCGGCAGAGGAGGAGGAGGAGGAGAGGAGAGAAAGGAGAAGCAGATGAAGGGATCAAAGTGGAGGAGAAAAAAGGCGAGGGTCACGACCAGGAGGCCTCAGGGCAGGGTGTGCTCCGCTGGACCTCTCAGGGCCTCCATCCCAGGTCACTGCCACGCTGGTCGGCTGCTGCGAAGCTGCACCTCAAGACCACCTCCCCCCATCTCAACCCCCCCCCTCCACTCCTTGGCTCCCCTCCCTCCCCCCAGGCTGGCCCCCTTCCTAGCCCCAGCTCCAGCTTCCCTGGCCAACAGCTGCTGCCTGGGCCCACCTCCTTCCTTGGCTAGCGAGGATGCCTGGGCAGCTGTGTGGTGAAGGGGGCATCCTCCGGGGGGGGGGGCCCTGCCGCTGCCTATAACACTGAAAGACTTTGCCAGTGGGGTGTGGGGAAGCAGGTGACCTCAGCTACTCCCCGATTTGATGTTCCTACACATACAGGTCCACCTTAGACTGAATTCTGGGCCGGGATAACCCACAATTTCTGTATTTCTCATAGGCTCACAGTGGGAAAGGACCTTAGACAACCATCCAGTCCCACTGGCTCATTTTACATAAAGAGGAAACTGAGGGCCAGAGATTTGCTCAAGAAAACTCGGGTAGTCAGGGACGGGGTGAGATTTGACTCTTTGGAGATAGCTCCTTTCCCACTGCGTGACATCACCTCTTACCAGGAAGCTTTCCCCTGAGGGTCTCACCGAGCCTCCCAGGGCATGGGCTATTCTGGAGCTCTGGGACTGACTGTCCTTCTATCTTAGATCCCAGAACCCTCTACCTGGCTTACTGAGAGTGAGGCAGTCTCTGTCTGCCCCATGGGGGCTGGTCACTCACTACAACCGCTGGGAGATACCTACCCATTTCTCCTCACTTTTGATGAAGGCAAGAGGCCAGAGAATCCAACTTAGTTCTGGGAAGTACCCTAGAGACCTACTTGGTCCAATCTCCTCATTTTACAGAAGGGGAAACAGAGTCACATGTCTGATCACAAGATTTAAACCTCAATCTTTGTGATTCTAAGCCTAGAGTTTGATCCATGCCAGAGCTTCAAGAGACCTGGGGCAGAGAGAGCAATTCCTTCAGCTGCCTTAGTTTACAGATGAAGCCATTGAAGCTTGTCAAGGCAGAACATTCAGCGGCAGTCACTCCAAATCGGGGGTTATTTCAGCTACCCCGTATACTCTCTAGCATCTTAGGTCATTCAAAACAGAGTTTTCCTTCCTATAGACTTGTTGGCTATGTAGTATGAGGGGGATCACCCCATTATGGAGGTAAGTGAGGTCCTCACAAGGGTCCCCTGCCCACTCTCCTCCATCTTGGAGGCATTGAAGCCGACCAGCTCCTCAAGACTATGCCAAGATCTGTGAGAACACAGAGACCGCCTCGCCACCACCATTGGTGAGAAAGGAGGCAGAGAGAGGCCCAGGGGAGGAAGGTGCTGGGCCTACAACTGGTCTTCTGGTGGGGGGGGATCGTGGAGGGAGAGGCTGTGTTGATGCTCTTCCTGTAAGGGGCAGGAAGGCTCCCCTGGACCTCTGGACACTTTCCAGGGCCCTGAAGAGGTCGAGACCCCTTGGCTGTGGCCTTTGGCCAGGTTAGACAGTTGAGAGATGAATGTCTTAGCCCTGTGACCTAGGCCAAGGTCTCTTATCTCCTTGGGTCTGCTCCCACCTCTTTGATTGAGGAGATTGGACTAGAGGACCTCAAAGGTTTCGTACAGCTCTAGCACATTTCATGTGTTCTATTGGAGAGGCCTTCCCAGCTCTGACCTTCTCCATTCTACAGTTTTTATGTGCTCTCCACGTTCCTTCCAGCCCTGACATTCTGGGCTCCTTAGCTCTAATGTTCTGTGTTCTAGGGTTCTTTCTGATATTCCGTGGACATCTGGTTCTGACATCCCACGTTCTAAGGGCCCTCCCAGCTCTACCATCCCATGTCATGGGTTTCCATGAGAATAGAGCCTACTGCTTCCTGATCACCCTGAGTATGAGAGTCTGTACAGGAAGTTTTTGAGTCCTTTGGTCCCACAATCTTTTCTTCAGTTTTAATATCCCTGGGCTAAAAGTGGGAGCCAGAAGCAACCCCACAGACCTCAGGCCTGCCCAAGGGAAGCCCTCCCCACTCAAGGCCCTAAGGGATCCCCATTCACCAGCCAGCTGCTATGGCTCCACCTTCCTCCCCTCCACCCCCAACCTGGGCCAACTACTAATGCTGGAAGGCAATGGTTAAGCTGCCCCTCTGGGTGAGAGAGAGAGGGAGAGAGAGAGAGAGAGAGAGAGAGAGAGAGAGAGAGAGAGAGAGAGAGAGAGAGAGAGAGAGAGAGAGAGAGAACAAGAACAAAAGAAGAGAGAAAGAGAATGAGAGAGAAGAAAGCAAAACACAGTCTCAGCAGAGAGCCTGCTGCCCTCGGGGACCAAGGGGCTGTCAGCAACAGGCTGGTGCCATCTTGGACATGGCACTCAGCTCTCTAGCCAGTGGCAATAGAAGGCACAGAGCCAGGCCAGGTAGGTCCGGCAGTTCCCTGGGGCAGGACAGAGGCCTGACACTATAGCTTCCTCCTCCTCCTCCTCCTCACTGACCTCATTTTGGGTTTCCTATCACATCCTAAATTAGTCCAATCTACAACCTCTCCATCACAGGAGACTAAAATTGGTACTTCTAGGCCCTGAGCCAGTGGACAGTGTCCAGGCCGGGCTGGGGAAATTACAAATCGCCAGGCCCGAGTTGATCTCCTGGAGAGCCGGGCTGGGGCTGGCCAGTAGCTCAGGCTGCCTGACTCTGAGAGGGCAGGGGATGGGGGCCGGCTCAGAGATTTAGCTTCCTCTTGGCCACTCTGTAGGGAGACGTCAAGGAAAAACAGCCTGTTGTTTGGTCCAAAAAGCAAACTCACTCAAGGCTCAGTCCTTTGCTCAACAAGGGACAAAAGTAGTGGGTAAACTATGGGTGGTGGAGCAGACCCTCTCAGGAGAGTGAGGTGCACCCCACTGCAGGTTCCAGCGCTCTACAATGGCCAAAGGGCCGAGAAAGGGGCAGCTCAATTTTTAAGAACTTGGGAGAAAGGTATTTCCATCTACTGAGAGTGAGGCTTTCCCACCTGCTAAGAATGAGGCCATTCCACGAGTTGAAAATGGAGCTTCCATCCTAACAGCTGAGAATGGTATGCTCAACTGCTTTCAATGGGAACAGTCCAATTGCCGAGGATTGGAGGGTCCCATCTGCTGAAAGTAAGGCTGTCTCAGCCACCAGGGAGTGAGGCTGTCCCAAATGCTGAGAAGGGGACAGCCTCTCTGGCAACCATGAGTGGTCAGCATCCGAGAAGAGAATGACTCTTCTCTGAGTGATATCAGGACTGTCCACTTACGTGGGGCTGAGGGAGTTTGAATGCCAGTACAGGGAAAGCTGAGACGAGAGCAACCCAACCACCAAGAACAGACTGATTCCAGTGGAACACAAGGACAGCTCACTGACCAAGACTGAGACAGCCAATGGGAAAAGTTGGGATGAGAATGAGCCAGCCAAGGGGGACAGTCCAGCTGCTGACCTTAGATGAGCTTTGGCAGCAGACAGTATGATGGGACAATCGAGAATGGGGACAAGCTAATGGAATTAACCCAATGGTAGAAAACGGCATGCTTCAGCCACTGAGAGAAGAGTAGGATGGCCTCACCGTGAGAATGCTCGGATGCTAATGGATATGGGATCGAACAACGGCAGAGAATGGGACTGCCTAGCCACCAGAGATGGGATGGTCCAATGGAGAAGGCCAACAGGCCAGATACCCAGAATATGATGAGCCAACGGCCGATGGAGCTGGGGAACTCCAAGGGCTGGGATGAGGCTGCCCTAAGGCCAGAAATGGGATGAACTGGCAAAGAGATCAATGTCCGATGAGCACGGGAAGAAAGAGGCAGCAGCCAGATGCTGAAATGGGACAGAGTGGGTGTGTGCCTGGTCATGTCCAGGTGGCTAGGGATGGAAAGGCCTAGTCGTGATTGACAATGGGATAGCCCCACGGCTGAGGATGGAGTGACCCGAGAGGCAAGGGTGGGGGGCCAACACTGGGTGCCCCTCACGCCACCACGTCCACCCCGGCTTGTGGACAGGCACCAAGCTCACTCGCTCCGGCCGCGGTGCGCTCTCACTCACTTGGACCGGCTGAGCTTCCCCATGGCGAGGTGGCTCTGCACCGTGTGCCATCGGCCTCTCCCCGCCTTCCCATTGCTGGGCTCGCTGCGGGCAGACACGCTGCTCCTCATGGCGTCCTCTGTGGGCAGTGGCGGAGGTGGCGCCCGCTTCTCCCCTGGCCGGCCTTCCCGTTCCATTGCCAGCCCCGCCGCGGCGGCCACTTTGGCGCCTGCCAGGAGGGTGCCACTGAAGCCCGGGCGGCCGGGCCGGAGGAGTGCCAGGCAATGCCGGGGGGAGGGGAGAGCAGACCACACATGGGGAGGGGGGAGGAGGAGGAAAACAAAAACAGATAAAAGGAAGAGAGAGACAGAGAGAGAGGAGGAGGAGAGAGACGGACAGACAAGAGACAGACAGAGAGAGAGAGAGAGACATCAGCACTGCAAATGGTCAACTGAGCCTACAGAGAGGAGAGAGGGCATGGAGGGTGGGGGGAAGAGAACAACGCACCACGACAGCGGAGGGGGGCCCTCCCCACCGCCTGGTGCGGGGGCCTCGGGGGTGGGGGAGGGCAGCCGCCTCAAACTCTATCCCACAGGACAACGAAGGGTTAACGACGGAGGAGCGGGCTGTCCAGGAGAGGAGGCCCCAAGGCAGGGAGAAAGAGAGAGCCAAGTTAGTGAGACAGCTTCACCATCAGTCACCACCGCCACCAGCCACCAACCACCGACCTCTGACCACCGACCACCGACCACCAACCAGCAGCAGCAGCAGCAGCAGCAGCGGCAGCGGCAGCAGCAGCAGCAGCACACCAGCAGGGAGAGAAACAAAGGCAGAGCCACAACGCCGAGAGGGGAGAGGCCAAAACGGGCAACCCCGTCCTGACTTGGGAGAAAGGGGCGGAGGTGGGGGACCAGAAGAGACAGCGAGGGGCTGCGGGGCAGGGCTGGTGACAGACTGGGCTCTCCTGAGTAACTGGCCCTGGGGGAGGGAGGCAGGCGGGGGAGGCCGGGAGAGGTGGAGGGAGGGGAGGCAGGAGGGGTTGCTCGTCTCCATGGTCCGTCTGTCCATGGGGCGGACGGCGAGGGGGCGGGGGAGGGGAGGAAGAAGAGGAGGGAAGAGGAGTGGGGGCAGGGGGTGCGCATATACTCAGTACATATCAAATCAGGTAAAGAAACTCACTTGAGGGATAGTCGCGGATCGCCATAAGGGGCGTAGGGTGAAATGTTTAGTATAAACTCCTTGGGAGGGTAGGAGCTCCATTTCTGCTGCACTGTGCTCTCATTGTTATTCCAAAATTCTCTGTCTACATCACTAGAGGGGCAAAGAGAGAGGGAAGAAAACAGGGAGATACAAGAAACAAAAATCCGTAGTCCTGCTAGGGGAGGAATGAAGAGGAGCCGAGCCCCTGGGGGCCTGGGGAGGCGAGAGGGGCCTGGAGTGAAGGGCGGTGTGGGCTGGGCGGGGAAGGGCCCTCCCAGGCCAGGGGGCCAGGGAGGGAGTGGGCTCCTGTGGAAGAAAGGCCCCCACCGGCACACTTGGCACACAAACACACATACACACAGGCACACACACACACACACACACACACACACACACACAGGTGGATGGAAAGGAGGGAGATGCTGGGCAAAGAGCCGCAGCTGGGCAGGTAGGCAGGCGGGCAGCTTGGTAGGCAGACAGGTGCCCCATACCTTTGGAAGCTGGTAGAAGAGGGAGAGAGAGAGAGAGAGAGAGAGAGAGAGAGAGAGAGAGAGAGAGAGAGAGAGAGAGAGAGAGAGAGAGAGAGAGAGAGAGAGAGAGAGTAGAAAGCCCTGGCTGGCAGGTTCATCCCTGGGGGTGCCAAAGCAGAGGGGCTGGGACCCAGAGAGGGTGCCCCCACCACAGTCAGCTTCTACCTGGACAAAGTCGCTCCTGCTCTCTCCTGAGAGGGTGCCCCGTGCCCCTCTTCCTCCCCAGGAGGGCCAGCTGGCTCAGGACCCAGCTACCTGGTCCAACCCCTCATTTTATAGAGTGGGAAGCAGGTCCCAAAGGGTGAAGTTACTCAGGTAACATCACACAAGTTCTAAGTTAGAGTCAGGATTTGAACCCAGGCCTTCTGATTTCAAGGCCAAGATTTGTCCCAGCACACCATGCTACCTCAAACTGGCCAATTCTCTTCTTCCCGAGGATTCCTCTTTTCCCTAGAAGAGAATTCCTCTCCCTCCCCTCGTCCCTCCCACGATGGCTCCATCTCTACTCCCCATAGGGAACTCACTTCATCCTCTGTACTTGTATCCCTAGTGTTCCGCACACAGGAGGCACTTAATAAATGTTAATACATGTTATTCTTGGAGAGTGCAGTCCCTCTCCTGTCTTCTCCTATTGACTCAAGCTGCTTCGGGTCCCTGTAACTTCCCTATATCCTTAGGACTGAGGGTGGGGGGAGACTTTTCTGGGATTCAAACAGGTTGAGAACCAAAGGTCCCTTAGAGCCCTGACCCATACCAGCCTCCCCTCCCCCCACAACCCAGGTCTTTTGCCTCGGGACCAGGGCAGGAAATTATCCCTTTAGCAGCTTTCTGGGAAAGGGCAACAGGAGGTCAGGTGCTCTGGCACCTGCTACACCTTTGCCACAGCAAGATTCAGAGGGTAGTTATTCCCCCCTACCCCACTCCAAAGGTCAGGTACCAAACAGACCACTCATGCCAACCTCAAGGGCACTTCACTGGCTACCAGAGTGAGACAGGACTAGAGGGGCCCAGCTTTCATACCCAGCAAGAGCTGAAGGCTAGGCAGGGGCAGGGGGGAGCCCAGATCCCCCCATGGGCTGAGGGTCATACATGGCCAAGAAGTTCCTTTGAAAAGGATGAAAAGAAAGCTGGGCTTGGAAGGGTGGTATAGGACAGAGCCCAAGCCTTGGGGTGCTCTGATGACAGAGCAGGGGTCAGTGTGGCTGAGATGGTCCAGGATGAATACCCTGTTGCCCTCTTTAAGGCTCAGAGAGGCTCTGCTTGGAGGGGGGAAGGGGGAAGGGTGAGAAGACAAAGGGAGGATTGGGGAGTACCTTCATGGGATTGAAGGACTTTAAGGCTGGGAGAGACCCTGCACAACCCCAGAGCTGGGAATTCAATCGAGGTTTTCTGATTCCAAAATCAGTGGTCCTGCCGCTCCAGACTACTCTCTCTGAGAACGCTGCAAGCAACAAGAACTAGGGCAGAAGGGGCTTCATCTCCACCCTCCTGGGGTCTCCTTTGAAAGGCAAACCACCACAGAGATCAAGGCCTCAAGCCCCTTGGGGTCAGGAAAGCCAGGGGATCTGAAGTTCAGCTCTTTCCTATCATTTTTGTGGAAACTGAGAAAGCCATCTGACCTGAGGTGGGACAGGGCAGAGGATTTAGGAGGCAAAGGTCAGATGAGTGTGGGGAATGGGGAAGAGAATTGTGAGAACTGGCATAAAGGCCCTTGGGGTATCAGCCTATACCCAAGCTCCCAGGGCCCAAGAGGCAAAGGAGCCAAAACCCTGTAAAGGGACAGGCGCTCCCTTGGGGTGGGATGGAGCTGGTACATCTTTCTTGGCAGAGTTGGGAAAGGGAGGACAGGCCACGGTGGACACTCCCATCTTCTCCCTGCTCACAGACCCTGGTATGCTGAAGCACCTCCCTCCAGGTCTCCTTGCCCTAGAGCAGACTCCTTCCTTCACCCCACAGGTGCTGCCATGGGAATTGTCCGTGGTGCTGAATTGTAGGCTCAGCCCTGCACCACCCCTCATGACCACCGGCCAGGGACATAGCTCTTGGTGACATGAATCAAACTCTGGATTCCCAGAGTCTGGGTTCCCAAAGCTTAGCTACAGAAAATAGGGTATGGGGAAAGACTCCCTATTTTCAAGGACCCAGAGTAAGCCCATCCTGAAGAGTGAAAAATCTAATCCAGGATTTTCTCAAATGAAGAACCTTACCCAACATGAGCCTCTTTGGGGAAGATCCCAGCCCTATCATCTCCCTGAGAGTTGGGGGAGCCTATAATGTTCCCCTTCTGCTGCACAGCCTCCTCTCCCATCTCAGTCTCATCAGCATGGACTCTCACAACTTACTCCCCTCCTCCCTGAACCCTTTGGACTGAACCTTGGGCCTCACTGCCCTGGGGGTCAGGCAGCTGAGGTCTTATCATCACAAGATAGGCAGTAGTGCTTGGACACTGAGGAAGGGAGAACAGGCTAGCTCAGAGAATGATCTTCAAAACCTGCTGAAAGGGGATGGGTAAGGATGGAGTTTGGGAGCCAAAACATAAAGGCCTCCAAGGTTGGTGTTATTGGTGATGGGTCCTACAAGCCTGAGAAGGGAGACCCAGGCCACAGGGGTGCAGGACAACCCATGCCTAATTCATGCCTGAGTTCAAGGGACCCTTAAAGACACCAACTCCAGTCTAGTATGATCATAATTGACTTTCTTTACCCCTATCGATGGGCAATAAAGCCATCCTTCTTAGAGCTAAAGGCCCCTTTGCCAGACTCCAGCCCTGGTGCCTAGGAAATGGAGTCTGATCACCCTACAGATGGGGACTCACCTCTCCTGCAGGTTTGGGGGCTGGGCCATGAGAGGGGCATTCCAAAAGCCTGCTCAGGGGCACCTGGGCCCAGCCAACCCCACATCAGAACACCCAGGGCCTCTTGGCTCAATGTCTCAGCTATGGATGCTCGAGCTACCAGCTCTGAATCTGAGAGGCAGCCCAGCAAAACAAAGGCTTCAAAGGAGACCTGTAGCTAGTCCAGGGAGACTTTGGCCTCCCTCTCTCCTCTCATCCCTCACCCTGCTTCTCCCTGGCTTCAGTCAGGTCTAGGCCGGAAGCCAGGCCTGAGTGTGGAAGGAGAAAGAAGGGGCAGGAAGAAAAAAGGGGACCAGAGAAGGGTGGCAAGAGATGGTGGGAGGCAGAGGAGAAAACAGTGGAAAGGAAAAGAGAGGAGAGGCAGAAGGGAGGGAGGAGAAAAAGGAAGACAGAGAAGATGGAGAAGAGGGGATGAGGTGGAGGAGAAGGAGAGAGGAGAGGTGAGAAAGAGGAGGGGAAGATGGTTTAGGGAAGGAAGAGGAAAGAATGAAGAAGGGGGAGTGACGGGGAAAGCGACGTGGGTGGGCAGGAGTAAGTCAGCAGTGATCAGATAAAGCACCAGCCTCTTGGTGGGAAGCTGGTTCTCTGAGCCCTCCCCTCCTGTCTGGGGCCCCCACTTGGTCCCCAGCTGGCAGCTTCTTGGGGAGGACAGAGTGGGGGAGAGGAGCACCCTTGTTTCACTGCCCACCTGGCCAAGAACCTCTGGAGATGATACAGAAGATACTGCGTTTTCTGATTCTCTTGTCTTACAGTCAAGCTAAAGAGAGGTTGAACTACCCTGAGCCTAAGCTCAAGGCCCCCACCCGAGGGCACCACGCTCCTCTCCTCCGGGTCAGGTTGGAGGACAGAGATGCTCCTCAAGTCAGGAAGAGGAGACTCTGGCCTGGGGCTGGGGGTTCTGCAGGGTAAGGTCTGGGAACCCCAGGTCTGGGAACAGACCTCCAGCCAGGTTCAAAAGCAGGAAAGGAACCCTCTGGACTTCGGAGTAATGGTCGAGGAAAGTGAGAGGGAGTCTTGGGGAGGGAGGGAGGAAGGAATACCAAGTAACTTCTCCATCCCACCCCCCATCAGAACCAGGCCAGCCATAGGGAGGGGAAGGTCTCCCCCAGGCTTTCCAACAAGCTGGTGGAGTGCAAGGGGAAGCTCATGAGGTGATGTCATGCCCACTTTACAGATGATGAAATCAAGGCCCAGACCAGTTAGCAAGTCACAATCTGGTGTCAGGGCCTCTGACTTCAAATCCTTGTCTCTTTCTACTGTACATTGGTACTGTTGAGGCCTGGGACAGCATGTGTATGTGCAGGAAGCTTGGGGCACTATGGATGCTGGGAGGGGGCGTGAAGACAGCTTAATGCTAGAGGAGACATCGTGGCAAGGGCAGAGGTGTCTGAAGGAGATGGGCTCAGGGTGGAGAGAAGAGAGGAGAGGTGTGTCAGGCAAGGCTCAGAAGGGGATGCAGAGATGTTGGGCCCCTTTTAGGGGGCGGACATAGGGCGTAGGGAAGAGTACATTCATGGGGGGAAGTCTGTGTGAGGCAGGGAGATATCAGAGGATGGGGGAAGGAGAGAAGGGAGGAGGGGAGCGTCGGGGTGAGGCTGTGGAAGGGGATACAGAGATGTTGGGGTGCCTTGTGGGGAGGTGGGTGTAGGTGTAGAGGAAGGTGATGTTCATAGAGAGGAAGTCTGTGTGTCAGGGATGTCAGAGGATGGGACAGGGGGAGGAGGGAGAGCTGTGGGGACTCCTCTCACCTCAGTGGCGGGCTGCCTCGATGCCCCTGCCCCACAAGCCGATTTGGCCCACCCCACACTCCCCCAGGCACCTACTTGATAGCTTTCTTCTCACTGCGCCCACGCCCAGAGTCTGGGGTGCCCACGGTCTCTAGGGAATTCTTGTAGCGTTTGCCCTGTGGAAAGAATAGCAGGGTCACTCGAGCAGACACCCTTGGTCTAGAGAGGCCATCAAGTCCTTATTTTACAGATGGGGAAGCTGAGGCAAAGAGAGGTTCAGTGACTTGCCCAGGGTCATGCAGGCAGTAAATGTCTGGAAGAGTGAGATTCAAACCCAGGTCTTCCTGACTCCAATTCTAGCACTCTGTGCCCTATGCCACATTGCTCCTCAAGGCTACCCCTCCTGCCTGGCAGTAAGTGTCAATCTCCCCAGGCACCCTCAGGCTCTATCTCCAGGCTGCTTCTGATTTCACCAACAGGCTACTGCACAGCACCATTTCCATGCCCCTCAGAAGCAGGAAGGCATAATGATGCCAATGGAGTCAGGAAGACGAGTTCAAATGCCCCCTTTGCTGGGGCCTTTGTGACCTTGGGCTAGTCTTTTCACTCCTGGGGCCCCAGATAACTAGCTAGGACTAATTTACCAAACCCCAGATGGGCTGAGATCTGGCCCAAAGGAGGAAGTCCCCAGTCCAATTTAACCCAAGGCAACGATGTGTTTCCTGAGTACTTACTATGTGACAACCTCCAAAGAGGCAGAGAGGTGAGAGCTGGGAGTTCACCGTGGCACAATCACTGGTGCTCTGGGAATCTGAGGCCTGCCACCACCTCAAAATTCCAAGCCAAATCACTGCAGCCCTGCATCCCCTCCCAAGTTAGAGGGAAGAGGGAAGGGCAGTAGGCTGTACTTCCCTCTGCACAGCTCATTAGTGGCCAGGCCTGTCCCCAGGAACATGAAAGAAGGGAGGCACCACGATACAGAAGAAGGATGATCACTGTTCACTGGAGTCAGGGAGACCTGGGTTCCCATACGGCCTCGGACACTCCCTATGTGACCTTGAAAGCATGTGACCTTTGTGGGCCTCAGTTTCCTCATCTGTAAAGTCTCTTCTGGCTCTAAGTCCGTGCTCTTGTGAGCCCATGATTAGGAGCCAAAAAGGGGCTTAGATATCACCTAGTCCAACCCCCTCCCCGTATTACAGAGGAAGAAAGTGAGACCCAGAAGTGTTGTGTGTGTGTTTTTTTAACAATTAGTATTGAAAAGTAGAATGGCTAGGTGGCGCAGTGGATAGAGCACTGGCCCTGGAGTCAGGAGGACCTGAGTTCGAATCCGAACTCAGACACATGACACTTACTAGCTGTGTGACCCTGGGCAAGTCACTTAACCCCAGTTGCCTTGCTAAAAAAAAAAAAAGGACTTGGGGTAGTGAGTTCCCTGTCACTGGAGGTCTCCAAGCAAAGGCTAGATGACCACTTATTGGGTGGGTTCTCCTTCAAACAGAGATTGGTACAAATGGCCTGAGGTACCTCCTAGCTCCAGGACTCCCCATTGGGGTCTTGATGCTACAACATAGTGCAGGGGCTCGAACTCGGGTCCTCTACCTTGAAGTCCAGCGCTCCTTTGGATGGCAGGTTGGCTTTGCTCCCAGGCCCAGGCCTGTTCTCCCATCCCCCAGGGTCCTGGCCAGGCTCCCAGATGCAGCTCCACTCTCCGTGGACAGACGGCTCTCCGGTGCCCAGCCCAGCCACGTCACGCTGCCCACGTCACCACCCCCGCATGGCGTGGGCAGCAGCCCCACAGGGTTGGCAGGGGCCCGGTGACGTGAGCGGCTGGGGCAGGGAGAGGGGAAGGCCGTTTGTTTCCACCTCGCTCCGGTCTGACCAGCCACTGCTCTGGCCAAGGCCTATCCTCATGGCCTCAGGTCCCTAGTGCCTCAAACCACAGGCACTCAGGATTCCAAAGGGAAGAGAAGGGAAGCATCTACTGCTTATCGCTAAGGAAACTGAGATTCTACTTAGCCTCGTTCCCTCATTTTACGGATGAGGAAAGTGAGGCTCTGAAAGCATCGTGGATTGAGACCGGGAAGAGATCTTTGTGACCGTAGGCCAATCACTTCACCTCATTGTGCCTTGGTTTGCCTTTCTGTAAAATGAGGAGGCTGGATTTGGTGACCTCTAAGGTCATTCTTAGCTCTGCCTGTTATCTTATACTATATAGTCCAGGGCTGTTCAGCAGTCCGAAGCCTGGAGAGATCAGGTGATTTCAAGAAGCAGCTTGCCCAGAGAGCAACCAGCAGGGCCAAGATTCAGGCCCTCTGACCCCAAACTCAGAGTACTTCCCACTGTATTACATGAACCTGCAGGGTAAAAGAGGAGGACACATGTCTTAGCATCAGCTCCCTCTTTGTGGGAGTCATACATAGGGAGAAATGGTGCTGAGGACCCTCCTGTGGATAGAGAGAAGGCCTGGCCTTTTAGAAGACACATTTTGGGCAGCACATCCTATGGGAGTATTGGCAGCTGGGAAGGACTTTGGACACCATCTAGTCAAATCTCATTTTACAGAAGAGGAAACTGAGGCCCGAGGAGGAGTGAGTTGCCCAAGGTCACAAAGATAAGCAAGTTAGCAGATCCAGGGTTCGAATTTCTATGCTCTGACTCCAAACCCAGCCTTCCAGGGAGGGGTGAGCAAGCAGGCCTCCATCCACAGTGGGCAGCCTGAGGTCCCTCGGCCAGGCTGGGCGGGGAAGGAAAGAGAACAGCAGGGCCGATACTGTCGCCACAGCCGTAGCAAAGGAGGGACCTGCAGCAGAGGAAGGTGAGTTCTGTTCACCTTCTTGGTTTGGGTTTCTAAATATAGCCTCCTGCGGAGCCCAGTGTCATTAACATTCCTCTTGGCTATCCAGCACCCCACATGCATACTAATGACAGGGATGGGCTGAGGCCAGGCCACCCTGCTGGCCCAGAACCAGCTAGTCACTCTCCTCTGGGGCTGAGGCCTAGGGCCCAGACCGAGAGCCTGGAGGGTCAGGAGCCTCACTGCAGGATCCGAGGGGGCAGCTGGTGGCCCACTGACTCCCTGAGGCCAGAGGCAGAGGCTGCTCTGCATTGGGGAGAAGCTGGGGCTACTCTGCTGCTATGGGAGATTTCTGGATTGGCTGCTATGATTCTGCCATCGCTCTGACCTTTCAAGTCCTCAGAGCCCCAGCTGCTGATTCTAAACACCCTGGCCTTCCAGCACCCAAACACACACACACACACACACACACACACACACACACACACACACACACACGCTTTCCCAACATCCCATAATGCACACCAACACCGACCCCAAACACCCAATTATCCCATCCTCTCCAAAGCAAAACAAAAGACGCTGTCCCGCAGATGCTCCCTTCAGCTGCAGCCCCTCCCCAGGCAGACTCAGCAGAGGCCCTGCAGAGGCCCAGCAGCTGAGAGGGACACCTGAAACATGTGTGAGGAGAGAGGGGCTCTCCTGACTCCTCTCCCCAGCATGAGCTCCTCGTGGGCACCGTTCGCACCCAGGGCCCAGCTCTGCCCTAAGTAGGTTTCACCTGAAGCGAGTCCCCTCCCCTCCAGGCCTCCTGAGCCCTGAGAGAAGCTTGGCTACATCTCCCAGGCCCCTTTCAGTGCTAACATTGCATGTTCTCAGCTCCCTCCCAGGGCTGACATTCTGCATTCTAAGCCTCCTATGTCTGATGTTCTCTCTTCCAAGGGTCCTTTCAGCCTTTTCTAGACCCAGTAGAACCATAACTTTGGCAGCACTACCTGAGCTAGGCCTCTGAGGCCTTCCACCTAGAGGTACCTGACCTCCCGGCCAGCTAAAGGGGCCTCAGAGGCCAATCCCTACCTCAACACAAGATTCCCCTACAGCACAGACTCTAAGGCCTCTGGCGCCAGGGGACTCATTCCCCTTCGAGGAAGCTCAGTGCATTTGGGGTCAGCTCTCGTGATCAGGAATTTCCAGTCTTGAATCTCACCAGTCTCTTGCCTCTCATCACCAACCTGGTACTCACAAGGCAAAACTGCTACCAGCCCATTAGGACAGATGATGACGTGCCCATGGTCACAGAGGTATCAAGGGGGAGAGCCAGGATTGAATCTAGCACCTCTGCCTCCAAGTCTAGCAAATTTCCAATCAGGTCATGTCATGTTACCTCTCCATATCCAGACCCAAAGTCTGGGGTCGGCCAGCACAGCCCTGTCACAAAGGAACTCTCCCAGCAGTGGAGGGCTCCCTCCAAGCAGAGGCCAAAGGACTGTTTGCCCACCGAAGTTTGTGGACAGGGGCGGGAGAAGATTCCTGTGCAGATACAGGCTGGACACGACAGATGAGTGAATGAAAAATATTTATTAAGGGCTTACTATGGGCCCAGCCAGATGACCTCAGAGGTCTCGTTTTCAGCTCTGAGACTATGAGCTTCCAGGCCTAGCTGCCCTATAACTCCCTGGCACCTCAGAGTCTGTAGCCAAAGAGAGCAGCTCCCTAAAGACCCCATGGAACCCACACCTGACATCCCTGGGCCATCCACTGACATCCCCCCCAAGTCAGCACAGAGGTCAGCAGCCATTCTGTGGACTCCGCCTCACCCCCAATCACCTGGAGGCTGCTGGCACTGCCCCTCCTCCAAGGTCTGGGAACTAGCCACACAACCCTCCCATAGTCAGTCAACACACAAGTGGTACAGAGAAAAGGCACCGGCCCTGGGCGGGTACTACCCATGTAACCTTGGGCAAGCCACTCCTCCCTGGGCATCTTTGGGCCCTGGCCTACAAAAGGATGGGGTGGGACTAGGTGGCCTGAGGTCCCCAGCTGCTCTAAACTGAGGCTCCCATAGACTCCTAAAGGTCAGTTAGTCTCCCCCTCCCCCCAAGGGCCAGGGGCATCCTCTAGCTCACGGTCTGCCAGCAGCCTCTCCCGCATCATTCAGTCTTCCTATAAATCTCTTTATCAAAAAAGTTGGCGACTTTGGTCTAAGATCCATCCAGGCTGCCCCAGGGTCACACAACTATCCCCTCCTCAAGGGTTTCACCTTCTCACCCCCCAGCTCAGAGGGCTCCTGCCAGGCCCTGTGGCTGGGCCGCGTATGGCCCCTATGGGGGCAGAGGATGGTTCAAGAGTTGGTCTGGGGAGAAGCAGGGAAGGGGAGGGGGGGAAAACCATGAGGAAAACTCCAAGGGGACCTCGGTCTGGCCCAGCTGACAGCAGAGAGCTTGGAAACAGCTCACCATCCCCTCCCCTTACACCCCCTCCTGCTTCCAAGAGTCGGCAAAGGGGGGGTCGGCTGAGCAGAGCTGGAAAAAGCTGGCTCGAGATTAAGGAAGTTATTAATGTTCGGAAATAGGATCTGCAAGCACGGGGTTGTCACGTCATTCCTACTGAGGGGATGGGCAACCCAGGAGTCTTGTGTAGGGGAGCCCCTCAGGGAAAGGAGGCAGACAGATGAAACCCAAGGGCCCCCTAGCCAGAGTGGAACACAGGAGAGATCTGGGGGGCCTGAGGAGAGGCAGCCAAGGGTTAGGGAAGGAATGCCGTGTGTGTGTGTGTGTGTGTGTGTGTGTGTGTGTGTGTGTGTGTGTGTGTGTGTGTGTGTGTGTCTGGGTGGGGAGGGAGGAGGAGGTGGTAGGTAGAGCACAATGAAACACAATGGTTTCCAAGTTTCCCAGGAGGGAGGAAGGAGCAGCTTTGGCCAGAGACCCTGAGCTCTGCTCTGTGGTCTGGCATTCCACAACACCCACTTAAGTAGCCCAGGCTCCTGGCCCACTACCGCCCATCCATCCGCCTGCAGTCCCCAGACGGATGGGAAGGGCCGCCTGTCCTTCTCACCTTGCCTATCCACCAGGCGCCAGCCTGTCCTGCTTGTCACCTCTGCCTCTGGGGACCCAGCCAGCCTTAAGGTCTACGCTGACAGCCAAGGCTTGCCCCCAGGCAAAGGCTGCAGGGAGGGCCCAACTCAGCAGCTGCAGCCTGGGGCCCCTCACTCTGCTTGGCCATCCTGCCTTGGGTCTTTGGGGAGAACACGATTAGCCCCCTCCCTAAATTCACAGCAAGAGGGAGCCCTCCACAGCAACATACAGAGTCATAGAGACACATCTTACACTCACGCACATGCACACACACACACACACACACACACACACACACACACACACAGAGCACACAGTCACCCCCACAGACCACGGTGCTTCTGAATACATGTTAACCTGCTGCTGCCCAGGAAAAGTCCATCCTTCTTCCTTTTGCTGACTGACTGGCTCCCCACTTTTGGGGAAAGCTGCCGGATTTAGCCAAGTTAACAAGAATTTATTAAGCATCTACTGACAGGCACTGCTAAGTAAGTAATGCCTCTCTTTGCCTCTTCTACCACAGAAGGTGGTGGGGTGAGAGCTGGCTTTTGGGTCAGAACTCCGAAGGCTTCCTCCTAGGTCCAGCCCCACCCCCCTTCTGTCTCGTCTCTGGTTCTCCTGGGGTGATCTCCGGAGGCTTCTCCTCCCCCTCCCACACTCTCTGACCCAGCCAAATCAGCTGACTTGCTATTCTGCATCCGTAACATCCCATCTCCCTCCTTCGAACCTTTGCTCAGGCCATCCCCCGTGCTAGGCGTGCTCTTCCTCCATCTCTTGGCTCGTGGGATCCCCAGCTTCTTTTAAGGCTCCGCTGAAGCTCCCCCTCCCACCCGAGGCCTTGCTGCCTCCAGGTGTTCGTGCCCTCCCCCCATCATGCTTCATTCACTGATCTAAGTGCCCAGAAGAACAGAAACTCCTTGGGGGGCAGGAACTATTTAGTGCTTGGTCTGTGTATCCCTACTGCCCAGTACAGTGCCCAGCACACAGCAGATATTTTTGGGTAGGGACTAGACCTATAATTTCACAAGTGTAGGAAACTCCCAATAATCCCATTCCAGAACTCAATTCTGTAAACGTTTATTAAGAACCTACTATGTCCCAGGTACTGAGCTAAGCTAAGGTAGAAACTCCATCTGCCAGTTCAGACTAGTCCTGGTCCTAAAACTTTATATACATACTATATATATATATATATATATAGTATGTATATATATATATATACATACTATATATATATATATATATAGTATGTATATATATATATAAATTTTTTCCCAATCACATGTAAAGACAATTTTAACATTCATTTAACAAAACCTTTTTTTGAGTTCCAAACTTTCTCCCTCCCTGACCTCCCCTACTCCCTGAAACGGTAAGCAATTTGATATGGGTTATACACGTTCAATCATGCAAAACATATTACCATATTAGTCATGTTGTGAAAGAAGACACAGACCCGAAAGGGAAAGAACACGAAAAAAAATACAGAAAGTGAAAAATAGTACCCTTCAGTTGTCCTGCGACTCTTAAGAAGAATCGCTAACATTTATGTGATAGCTTTAAAATTTGTAAGACACTTTACATATATCATCTCACTCGGTCCTCACAATGGCTCTATGAGCTGGGGGCTATTGTTATCCCCATTTGCAGATGAGGAAACTGAGGATAGATGGATGCGGTTAAGGGGTTACTCAGGGTCCCACGCTAGTACGGGTTGTAGGCAGCATTTGAACTCAAGTCTTTCTGGCTTTCAACTTCTGTATTGACTATAAGAAGCCACCTCTCAGCGAGAGGTGCTAGCGCCAAAATAAATACAAAGATAGACTGACGAACGAATGAATGAATAAATAACTGTGAAGTGAGATGAGCACTCTTCCCCTTGGGACTGGGAGTGGGAGGGAAGGAGGCCCCCGCAAATCCAGGGCACCGGGGGTGGGGCTTCTCCCCAGCCCTCCCCTCGCGCAGTCCACAGAGAACGCGGGCTCGAGTGGGGTGGGACCCCTGCCTCCCCCAGCGGAGTCCAGAAATCACCCGCAATGACAGGCTGTGCCCTCCCAACCACCTCCTCCCTCCCCAGCCTCCCTCCCCGCCCCGCCGCGGCTGCTCCTGGGGCTGGGCCTGTGGGTGGGGCAGGGCTGGCTGCCGGCTGCTCCGAGCCCCCTCCCTCCCGCTTCTGTCTCCGGTCTCTTCTGTTCTCCCGGGGTGATTAATGCCTCTCCTGACTGGCTTCGTTACTTATTGATGGCCTAATCCAGCTTGCTAATTCCCCAGCCCTCGTTAAAAATGAAAAGAAGCCGTTTGCGCTTGTACAAACCCTAAAGCCAGGATGGATGTGCCCGGGGCTCCAGCGGGGGGGGGGGGGGGGGCGGGGTGCCTGGCTGGACCAATGGCAGGCCGGGCCTGAGAACCCCTCCTCCCCGAACCCCCACCCAAGGTTCAGCAGCTCCCAGCCCGGCTCTCCGCCCCATCAGCCCTCGGGTGGATTGTGGCCTGGATTCTCTGCCAGATAGTATGCTAGTAGTGGTGAAGCTAGCTTGCTCGTTCACCCAAGAGACCCGGGTTCAAATCTTACCTCTCACTCTTTTATTAGCTGGGTGATAACTACATTAAGTCATTTTATTTCCGAGTCTCCATTTCCTCATCTGTAAAATGGGAGTAACCAAACCTCACAGGGCTATTGTGAATCTCAAATGAGACTTCTTGGCATCATCTCCTCCTCCGCCCCTCCCTGGCTTCCTCCAAGTCCCAGCCAAAATCCTACCTTCGCCAGGAAGCCGTTCCCAAGCCCTCTTAATGCTAACGCCTTCGCTTGGTTGATCACCTCCAATTTATCCTGTCTCAAGCTTATGTAGACACTGTGTTTTGCACGTTGTCCCCCGCAAGAGACTATAAGCTCCTTGAAAGCGAGGACTGTCTATTACCTGGTATATAGCTCAGCACCAGTGAGCTCTCTGTCTCTCTGTCTCTCTCTCCCTCTCGCTCTCTCTCTCTCTCTTTCTCTCTCTCTCTCTCTCTCTCTCTCTCTCTCTCTCTCTCTCTCTCTCTGTCTCTCTCCCTTTCTCTGTCTCTCTCTCTCCCTTTCTCTCTCTCTCTCTCTCGCTCTCTCTCTCTCTCTCTCTCTCTCTCTCTCTCTCTCTCTCTGTCTCTCCCTTTCTCTGTCTCTCTCTCTCCCTTTCTCTCTCTCTCTCTCGCTCTCTCTCTCTCTCTCTCTCTCTCTCTCTCTCTCTCTCTCTCTTTCTGTCTCTTCCTTTCTGTGTCTATCTCTATCTCTCTTTCTCTGTCTCTATGTGTGTATGTGTATGTATATATGTATATGTATAGTAGGTAGATAGTAGGTGCTTAATAAATATTATTGATTGACCGACTAAAATGCCTTGTGTTAGATAAATGCCTAGTATTATTATTATTGGCAAGTGTGAGCATGTCTCTGTGAGCACGTCTAGATATGAAAGCATTGGTGTGCTCACTTGCCAGGCAGGAGACCCTAAGGTTGCCAAGACTGAGCAGGAATGCAGTTTGGAGGGGGGTCCAACCTGGTGATTCAGGATGAGGCTCAGAGACTGAGGGCCTGAAAATGGACTCAGAAGCCCACCTCAGCTCCCTGCCCACTCACCAGTTTTCGCTGACACCATTGACAGATCCCACAGAGGACGATGGTGACACTAAGGCTGATGGTGATGATGGCGGACACTAGCAGGACGTCCCGGGAGGGTGCCCCTAGAGGAGGGAAGACAGAGGGTCAACATCAGAAACTGGTCCGATTTTATCAGTGGAAATGACATGAAAGAAGAGGTATTGCCATCTGCTGGACTGCTGCACCCTAAGGACCAGGGAACCTTTCCACCTGACTTTCACCTGAAACATTCCATATGTGTTATCTCCTCCATTAGAATGGGAGCTCCTTGAGAGGACAGGATTTCTAAGGACAGAGCAGGAAAGAACACGGGCTTCCCTTGGCCAAGGAGAAGTGGGAGGGTGTGGGGAGTGGGGGGGTAGCTTTAGAGTTAGAAGTACAAGGTCTAAATCTCAGATCCAAATTTGTGGAAAGAGCAATGATCTCGGTCTGATTTTCGACAAGCTTAATGGTTATGGGCAAGTCATTTAATTTCTCTAGGCCTCAATTTCCTCACTTAGTAATGATAATAAGGGCTAGCATCTATAGATGCTTTATCCACTACCTCATCTGATTCCCACAACAATCCAGTGAGGGAGGTGGTATTATCATCTCCATTTCACAGATGAGGAAAGCGAGGCTTTCAAGAAACCAAACATCTCACAATGTCAGAGGTAGGGTTGAATTCAAGTCCAGCCCTCACAGTACTGTACTGCCCAGCTGTCTTGCTGATTACTTATATGATGAGCCAGTGGGACAGGACAATCTCTAAGATGCCTCCCTCTACCCTCTACAACCATGAGATCAAATTTGGGTATTTCCTTGAATTTGAGACCAAGAGCTGTGATGGGTGACAGAGTTAAATGCATCTGCTCTGGCCCCAACAATTCCTGATCGCTTCCTGTGCTTAAGCCCCAGCGCTCGCGCTCTCTCTCTCTCTCTCTCTCTCTCTCTCTCTCTCTCTCTCTCTCTCTCTCTCTCTGTCTGTCTTTCTGTCTCTCTCCCAATTTCTCCTCTCTGATAAATGTGGAAAGTATGATGGAGGGGGGCAGCTAGGTGGCACAGTGGATAGAGTACTGGCTCTGAAGTCAGGAGGACCTGAGTTCAAATCCAGCCTCAGACCAAACACTTGACACTTACTAGCTGTGTGACCCTGGGCAAGTCACTTAACCCCAATTGCCTAAAAAAAAAGTATGATGGAGGAACAGAGAGGCCTCCAAAATGCAGAGGGAAGAATCAAAGAGGTAGCAGCAGGATTGGGTGCTAAAGAAAGAGAAGGCTCAGGGAGCTGGAAAGGACCCTAGAGACCATCAAAGCCCAATTCCCTCCTTTTACAGGGAAGGAAACTGAGGCCAAGATCACACAGGGAGTGAGTGGCAGAACCAGGGTCCTTGCCCAGGACCCACAGCACCACAGGGAGGTCAACAGGCTGAGAGGGGAAGGGGGAGAAGAAAGGGGAGGGGAAGGGGAGGGGAAAGGAAGAGGGGCAGGGGAATCCATCGCCTACATTTTCCTGTACACTTCATTCATCAATCCATTAAGCATCCACCATGTTCAAAGTGACTCTTCCCTTTAGTCTCCTAAGGAATGACTGTCAATCTCAAAGCCTTTCAGGTCTTTCCTGATTCTGGACCTGCTGCAAGGAGCTAGATTTCTGGCACGTTCATATAACAACACCACTTATATAGCATGTGAAAGTTTGCAAACTATTTTACATGTTACCTTATTGGAGCCTCAGAACAACCCTTGGGAGGTAGATGCCATTATTATCCTCATTTTGCAGAAATGAAGTGAAGTGATTTACCCAGGGTCACCCAGCTAGTATCTGAGAGAGGATTGGAACTCAGTTTTCCCAGAGCACGCGTGTTATTGATTCTGAGCTATCAGTGAACTAAATTCCTCTCCGTGGGGGAAGAGATCATGTGCTGGAATGAACACTGGATTTGGAGTCCAAGAAAGTAGATTTGAACATGTCTTTGTTACTTCCAACCTTGAGAGCATGGCTGTGCTGGTGACTGTTTGGCTTGTTTCCCTCTCTGCACCACGAGGGAGGTGGTCTAAAGGAGCTCTCTGGGCCCTTCCAGTTCCAGAGCCTATGCCAGATTTCTATGACCTGCGTGGAAGGGGAGATTACCAGAGGGACCATTTCGGACCACTTCCAAGAGGCACAGCCAGGGAGAGGGCAGCCTGTTCAAAGCCCAAGAGTAGAGATGGAATAGCCTGGCCCCTGGGGTCAGTGGCAGCCCTTTGAACTCCCTGTCCACCCCCATAAGAAATGGGGGGACACATTGCCACACAGTCATTACTGCAATCCAGCAGCAAGGTCGAGTCAGGGCAAGGCAGGCTGTGGGAGAATAAGGCTATGAGCATTTAACGACTGCAGGAAAGATGCTTTTCTAGCACTGGGTCTGCAGCTTTCCAGCACCCCACATGGCTCCAAGCTCTCCCCATCATAAGCTGGGGAACAGACACCCCCACTGGGGAGGTCTGCAGAACACTGTGTGGGCTGCCTGAGCCTTGTCCTGGATGTTCCACCTTAGAAACCTCTTGGAAGCAAGGTGACTTCCAGTCACTCACCAAGCTTCCAGGAAGCCAGCCCCTCTCCCCCTCACTGTGAGCTACCTGTGGCTTTTCTCTTGCTTCCTCCTTTCTCCCCTTCTTCCTTTTGCACCTCAAACTCTTCCTTTTCCTTCCCCTCTCCAGGTGCCAGTCTTGTCTGCTCGCCCCCCTACACCCAAGGCAATGGGAACTCTCTTCTCTTCCCCTCCTAGTACTCCTACTACCATCCTGTGTTATAAAGCACCTCCCCCTCCCTCTAATCCTTCCTTGGCTCCCTCTGCTTCCAGTAGGCCTCTCCGGAAAGTCTTTCTGGAGTTCTGTCTGGGACATGCCCACCTTCCCCACTCCTGTCTGCTTCAGCTTATGACTCAGCCCTGGAGGCCAGAGCTGGGGACTGGATGCTTGCTCTGGCTTTCTCTTTCTCTGGATCTCTTTCATTCAAAGATAATATCTTTCCACTTTCCCCAAGGAACAAAATGTGCCCTTTCCCTAAGTGCCTCCACCAGGGCCTCTGGCAATCCCTCTGTTATCTTCTGTGATGATCAAACTATTAATGAACATTTATGAAGCACCTATTGTATGCCAGGCTCTGGAGATACAAAGACAATATTGAAACAGAATCTCACTTCAAAGACCTTACTTCCTAAGGGGGGGAGGGGATAACCCGTTCTCACTCTCTCTCTCTCTCTCTCTCTCTCTCTCTCTCTCTCACACACACACACACATACACACACACACACACACACACACACACACACACACACACACACACACACGAGGGCTCATGCAAAGCCAATGAGAGATAACTTTGCATTAGCAACATGAGTAAGAGGGGAACCAGTCAAGGTTTCGTTGAGCTGAACAGGGCACAGACAGCCCCCAGCTCAAGGCACTTGGGTGGCAAACCTGCAAGAATCCAGGAGTTAGTTCTTCTGGGTAGATACTTCCTCATGGTCATTGAACCCTAAGTGTTGGTCAGATGACTGCAGAGACCAAGTCATTCTACAGAAGAGGAAGCTGACACACAGAGAGGGAGGGGAAGAGTCCCCTGCCCAAGGTCACACAAGTATGAAGGGGCAGAAGTAAGGTATAAGCCCAGGCCAGATGAGGGGAGGGGAGGGGAGGAAAAGGTGTCTTGGGCTGGGAGATAGGACTCTGGTGAATTGTGGTGTGATTTCAAACGTGTCACTGCCCCCTCTCTCCAGGCCATGGCTGTTCCCTCAGCTGACAAAAGCTAATGAGGCCACCTGAGTTCATGTGTTCCATCCCGTGGTCCAGTTAGCACCAAGCTGTTCCACAAGCACAGACAGGGCCAGCTGATAACCCAGCCCTCCACAATGAGTCACTGCCATCGGGGAGAGGCCGGGTCACTAGACGAGAGGGTGGAAGGATCAGCACAAACCCGTACCTTTTTCTTGGAGAAACAACTCAGGAACTGTAATGCAGTGGAAAGAACCTTGGGACCAAAAGCCTGAAGACCTTGGTTCTAGCCGAGGTCCTAGACTTTGTCACTGACTTGATGTGTGACATTGGCCAAATCATCTTTCTTCTTTGGGTCTCAGTAAAAGAAAGGAAAGAATTAGCCTCTTAGGTTCTTTCTCATTCTATGGCAGCCCACACATTTTACCTGTGACACTTACTATCTGCCTGACCTTGGAGCAAATCATTTAACCTCCTTGGGCCTCAGTTTCCTCATCTGTATAATGGGGGGAGGGTCGATGCTAGAACCCCTGAAGTTCCTTTTAGCTCTATAATCCATGGAGGATGAATCCTGGACGTCCAGAGATGGCACAAGTTAGGAGAGCAGTGAGAACAGAGTGCTGAGTCTGAGAAAAAGGAATGATGTTTACAAGTGCAGGCACCTCAGGCCTCATGGGGGATAGAGAAGGGGGAGGTGTTGAGGGATCCAGGGGGACAGGAGGCAGTCCTGGGTGTCCATAGTCATGGGGAGAGGCTCACCGGTCACAGCCCCCTGCCCCTTTGCCAGGGCAGTGCCTCTGCTCCCGGGCTCCCTCTCATCTCCTCCGCATTGCTATGATTTATGGATGAACAGAATCATACAAGGGCAGACGGCTGCAGAGAGGCCCTGGGGAGAGCTGCAGGAGACAGGCAATGGACTTCTGAGGACACGCTCTGGGATTGCTCCGGGACTTGGAAACATAGGGGGAGAAAGCTGGCATGGGCACATGTACACATACACACCCCCCTGCAGAGTCTCAGGCATGCACTGCACACAGAAACCACCATATACCACACACACACACCTTCATGGAGACGTGCACGTGATCCCAGCTCCTCACACACAGCTGTGCAGGAAAACGTAGATGCATCCATACGCCCAAGGGGCCATGGGGATATGGACAATGGCAGAGACTCCTGAGCATCCCCTGCCTAGAATGCCCTGATGCTCTCTTGTTGAAATCTTTTATGTACTGTAAATCCTGGCTTCAAAAACCCCTCCACCTGAAAGCCCTCTAAGTCCACAGTGATCTCTCCCTTCCTCCTCTGATGCCCATTCCACCTGGCACTGTGGAATCATAGAGGC